GAATTCCTCTAAACGGTGTATTTTCTTAATTATTAGTAATCAGTAAAAGAGAAAAATCCACATGCAGGATTTGTTTTTCTGATTATGTAACTAAAAATGTACAAATCAGTACAACATCCACCCTCTTTAAACAGTTTTTACTAATTCTGATTGCTTTATTTCAAGACACATTCCAGAACATGTGAGGAATTTGCAGCAGTTCTCCAAGTTGCATTTGTCTTCTCTTTAACAGAGCAGAGCAACAGGGACCACGTTCCAAATCCCATTGCTGGCTAAATAAATGATGAGGATGTTTTAGATGAGTCATAGTTGATTTAAAATGCAATGAAATGATTCATCCCTTTAACAGGTTCATTCTAAGATAAACAAGCATCGTCTGATATTAAAATACATTTAATTGTAAAATTATTACACTCTGCAGTCTATCTGAATATGTTTAGCACTAATTTGTTTATTTATTTATTTTTTGCTCAAAATAATAAAGACGGAAAGTTTATTGACCTTTGATGCACACTTTCTCCATTTCATAAATATTAAAGAAGGTTTTTAGTTTCTGTCATGGGATGATATTTTGTTTTAAAAACCCAAAACATTGAAATGTTGTATGATAAGGTTTATTAACCTTATCAACAAAGTTGTACATGCAGGTTAGAGAATTAATTTGTATCAAGTGACTGTTTACAAAAACATTACCTCGAGGAAGAATAAATTTTGCCTTAGGCAATATCTTTTTCCTGATTTTTATAAAGTCAAAACACAACAAGTCATTTTTTGGTCATTTTGCACAATACAAAAGGCTTTGTTCCTTCATAATCTTGATAAATTCTTTGGCGATGCTGAACAAAAACATGGGCAGACTTTCTTCTTCTTTCCCCGTTTTTGCATAACACATCACAAAGGTGTGGTCAAAACTACAAGAGCAACAGAGAGGCTCTTATTGCCTTTAGTCATATTTTAATAGCAGAGCAGTCTGACAATAAGGAGGATGCCAAAACTCTAGTTCACAGAGATTTGTCAAATCTAGGCAGTTTGGTTCACTGTAACTCCTTTCATTTGATATCACTCTTTTATATTTGTAAAGTGTACGCTGGCTTAACTTTCTTTTATTTATAGATGTCACAACTGATATCACAATGTGTTTTCTTGACAGAAAAGATAAGAGATGTCTTAATAAACCAAAATAATCCGAGGTCATTGTTTGTGTGTACGAAACGATTTGTTTCTCTACAATAATATATCTGGGGGAAAAGAAAGAAATGACAACTGATACAAGATTTGAGTCTAGTTTTGCAAATAAAAGGTATTTTAGTCGAATAAGAGTTTCTAAATTTACCCCAAAATGCTCTCCCTGGTTTGAAAAATATTGTAAAGTGAAGTGGGATCATATGTCAAACATTTCATTGAAGAAGCTATGACCTAAAGTTTGCACAGCAGGGCAAACAGATGTATCTCAGTAAATTAGACTACTATTGAAAACTAGCATTTTTGAGTAACTCAATTCATTTGGGGGACTGCTACCTTGTGGCGAGAAGATCTTTTAGAATGGAGTTTGCACGTATTGAACTCTTGCTATCCTATCTGTCATAAAACATAACTTGGGTAAACCGGTCTTGTTAAATAATCTTTGGGTATCAGTGATCAGCTTTCTCACAACCCTGCAAGGATAAGTGAGTATAGAAAATGGATAAATGGATGGAGTTCTATAGGTGAAGGATTATATTAATTAATTACACACAGGCTGAGGTCTTAAAGCCTTTATTTTTGTGAACTATGTTAATTTTCTTCTTAAAGCTAATAAAATTGCCACTTAATGTCTTAGCATATGAGAATAAAACAGTACAGAAATGTGGGTTTAGTGAAAAACAAGTTTAATTCCTGATTGAAAGTAATTTTCAAAAGATCCTTTAAATCTGATAAATCAGCTGAAAGGATATTCCAAGGTATATGTTGTACAGAGTGATTTGTTTCTCTACAGCAGCATATTTTGACTTTTATGCATTCTGAAGTTGGAAACACATTTGCCTTGCTTAATAAAAACAGATGTTTTGATTCAGAGTTGAATTACACTGTGTAAAAAATATTTGTCATTGCACTGATATAATATGGTTTTTGATATTGTCAGTAAATCTCAGTGGAAACAACCAGAACATAAATGCATATTGTTGTGGGCGTAATTAGAACAAGCTGTTTAATAAACATCAGATTTGACTGCAATTGGTTTCTTGATTAAATGTAATCAATAAGGCAGTTAGAATCAAGGTGTTTGACACACTGGCAAGTTCACACTCTGTAAAGATAATCAAATTTAAAGGAGGCACCATGGGGAAATGACACTTGCTTTAATTTTCATGCGAGTGATGTCTCTGCATGTGGGCAGAGGCAATTCTTTGAGACTCCTTAGTTCATCTGAGATGCAGCGCAAGAGTGCTCTGACCTTGGCAGTCTTACCTGTAATTGCATTCACACACACACACACGCAGTTGCACACACCTATACACACAACATTTAGATGCACATACATGCTTGCATCTGACAAAACTATGCACTCTGCCTCTCCATCTTTCTCTCCCGAATACGCTCTCTCTCGAAAACACACAGGCATACACAATCACCCTCCCTCGTCAGTCTGAATTAGGACTAATCAGCAGGTGAATTGTCTGTGGAAGCGCTGATCCGTTTGCAGTGACCTTGTCTAACTGTGGTTAGCAGCGATGGTCACACACTTATGTTGTACTGTATGAATAAATCGACTGTGCAGTCCCATTTAGGTAAACAAATAAAGACAAAAGTTTTGTCTCACTGTACGCTACAAGTTTCCCTCCAAATAAATGATCCGATTACACTTAGCAGCAACTCGCTGACTGCATTTGCATATTAATGGAGAAAGCCCAATTTTCAAGCCTCCAGTTCGTTATTGCTTTGAGCTAACATTGCATCCAACCTACCAGCGTCCATCTGTTTTGTGACAACATGTTGATACAGACATGTTTGCTAATTATTGCATTAATTAGCTGCAATAATGAACTCATTTGCATCACTAAATGGATTAAAGACATCCTGGTAGCAGGAGAACAACAGACAGCAGGCAAGTGTGAAGTGAAGCTATGGATATTGGCAAGAATTCCTGAAAACCTCTGAAGGGTTTAAATGGAACAATCTGGTATGAAATGGTTCTCTTTTCACACCAGATATGTAAACACACTCATATTATTTTTCCAATCTTCTGCAGGACACCACAAAATTGCTCCATGAAATTTCCAGTTGAACTTTTTCAGCACTTTCCTGAGGAGTGTCAGGCAGGTGTTTTCATCCTCTCTGAGATAAAACTTTGTAGAACAATCAAAACTGCTAGTATTGTTGGATGTCCACATGCTTTTCACAAGTAGAAACTAATATTTTTGCTGATTTTCCTGTCAAAGTAGCTCAAGCTCAATCAAATCAGACGTCCATTACCTGCAAAGGTCAGATATCCTTTTGACCCTTAGTTGAATTTAAGTTTGAACTTTGACTGGACCATTCTAACACATCAATATTGTTTAGTCCAAGCCATTCCACTGTAACTCTGGCTGTAGATTTAGAATCATCAGTGCAGTCAGACCTCTCAAGTTATTTTCCTTTTCGCAAATAAAAAAAGAAAATAAGGATCTACATTAAAATGAGCTAAATTTGAGACACACTTTTTCTTTTAAACTTAACAGATTTTTTGCCACATGGGGTAAATTTTCAGAATTTGTATTTTATGAGTTTATTAATTCTTTAGCTGAACATGGTTTCTTCCTGATGTCCACATTGAGAACTAATGAGATCTGAACCAAGAAAATATAAACGCACATGCAGTGTTTATAATCATAAAGTGTATTATGTAGCTAATAATCAAAGTAATTAAAGTAGCTTCAACTGATGGATTCTGCATCAAGATTATATTTGAATTTCTCCATTAAAAAAAAAAGATCTGCATGTACACTTTCATTTTGGAAAGCACTGCAACTTTCTCTACTATGTTATTGATTACCTTCCACAACAGAGTAAAATGATAAAATGCAATAATGCTTTTAAAACATTGGTCAAAATAAACTACTGTAGTGCAGTTTTCTTATTTTCCTTTTGGGATAAGCTTGTATTCAGTACATAAAAGTAGAGATTTAAATGTGTAAAGAGATAAATTGCAGATATGAGTCCCTTTAGGTGTAAACACAATAACAAGCTACTACTGATTCTACTCATGGTGGTTTAAATAAATGTATGCAGTGGTCAAATCGTATTGAGAAGTTTCATACTTTCATGGGGATGAAGTAAAAAAAAAAACACCTGGACTACAAATGTGAGCCTCAACACCAGGCCGTAAGACCCTCTTTGATGTGAGGTTTGGCAATGAATGGCTCAGCTTTCCACATTGATTTATTCAGACCGGGTGTTACTCCCACTATATGACAGGGCTAAAGGATGTTAAGACTTGGACATTTCAGTTTATTACATTTCAAACTTCATTACAGTTTGAAATGTGCAAAGTCTCAGTCCATCTGACTGTTATTATCTATTTCCCATTTAAAAGGAAATCCATGTTAAGGTTCTATAATATATTTCTCACCAGAAATGGCATTTTTTATTTCTTCCATCTTCCATTCTTGTTAGTTACTGAATATACTTGAATTTCACTGGGTTGTTAAAATATCCTTATCCCAATTTTGAAAAACATATATGCTGGTAGTTTTTGTTTTTTTTAACATGGCAAAAACTGGATATGTAAAGAAGAGCAAAAATAACTACCTTTTTTAGACAAAAACTGGAGAACAACTGCAGCACAAACATTACATACTTCTTTAAATATTATTAATCTATGCTATTTGTTGATAAATATATGAATAAAAAGCAAAATTCTTCATTTCTTAACCCCCACACCAAAGACAAACCACAAAGTCGTTCTGTGTGTTCTTCAAACGCTGAATAATAATGCCATCTCATTTGTTATTCATCATGCAATCTCTTATGTGCTTTCTTAGAGTGAGAACCTTCCCCAAGGACTCAGCCTTGTTGGGCAGGGACACTGTCCGAGCCCTCATGTATTATGCCCTGAAGGTCTGGAGTGATATCGCACCTCTGAACTTCCATGAGGTGGCCGGCAGCGACGCAGACATTCAGATCGACTTCACTAAAGCAGACCACAATGATGGATACCCCTTCGATGGGCCTGGGGGAACAGTGGCACACGCTTTCTTTCCTGGGGAGAGGTTCACAGCGGGTGATACACACTTTGATGACGACGAGGCCTGGACCTTTAGATCACCAGGTGAGGAATAAATACTCTGTGTCAGTTTTAAGCACATGTGTTGGACATAAATGTGTTAGGTTATATGCTGAGGGAAAAATGTGAGTCTAGAAAAAAAGGACATACAGTGGAAATCTGGTTGATATTTGCATGAGTCTATAAAACAAAAACCATAAAAACATTCAGTGTCCAGAAAGTACTAAAGAAAAGTGCAGCTTTTATGTTTGAAATCAAAACTCTGACTGCACCTGCAAGGCAAGCTGTGCTTTTGTCTTGTCTGGTCATGATCCAGATTTTATAATTAGCATTTCATTTGTTCGAAGAAACAGTAAAACATTCGATGGCCTGTGTGTGGCAACTAAAGCGGCGCTGATTGTTATCACAAGCTTATTAGGAGACATAAAAGGTATCCTTTTATTTTCCACAGCTGCCAGGAACAAACAACTCACACGTACGCGCCCGCTGCTAGCCATTAAATCTGTTTTTAGCAATCAGCATAAGTAATTGAATTTCACTGTCAGCTTTCATCGATTCCAATTTGTTTTGCCATGGGGTTCTGTTACATTTTGGTCTTTTACCCTAAAGTTGTGTGGAAGACAGAATGCAACTTTGATGGAATTGTACATTTTACATGGGTGATATTTTTTCTTGTATTATGTCAGGTGCAATTTATGTGTGCTAGAATTTAAAGAAGCATGGTGAACAGTAAGGTCATCTAACAACTTTGCCATTGTGTGGTCTTCAAAAGAAGGACACAATATAACAGAGAAGGTTTCCCTCACATTTTCATGCTTTTTCGTTCTCAATCCTTTAATTTTGTCGTTTAAGTGAAGATAAGTAGTTCACACAATTCTGTGGCACTCATATTTGAACTTAGTATTCCATTATCTGCTGTCTCAGTTCATATCCAATTTTTGTCCTCAGCCTGCATCAAGGCAAATACTCAAGTAAACTGCAAGACGGCACTTTCTAAATAATCATTACCATACCTGCGACAAAGAAGTAATTCTTCATCCTCCTTCAGAAAATGGGCCTCCAAAGTGGTTAAGTGCTTTGAAAGGCTTATCTTGAAATGTAAAGTAATTCTTGTACTTATTTTAGAGCCACATTGTACTAACATTTTCTCGACAAACGCTGCTCATTGATTTAAGTTTATATCATCATTTCAATGAGGAAACTAACCTGAAAACTTCCTTCTGCACCCGACAACTGATCACTGAGAGATTTTGACGACGGCATGGATAGATTTCCTCAGCTTGGAGCTCTCCAAGTCCGTGCATTTGATCTAAAGTCAGTGCATGATGCCTGTAGTCATTCAACTTACATATTTGAAAATCTGGTGGAGAAGCAAATTACAAGAGAGCTGAAACTACTACTACTACTACTACTACTGAAACAGCACCTGCTGATTAATTTTGTTAATAAACTGAATATAAGACCAACACATTTACAATGGTGCTGTATGGTAAACATAAGGTTTTTCTGTATAATAATGGCATATGCATCACCACTCAGGGTGACCCTCTACGTGTTTCTATAGTTCCTGTGAACCCATTAAAGGAAAAAAAGATATAAACCTAAAAGAAACACAAAGGCATGAAAGTGGATGCCTTGCTTTTGAAGTGAATGTTTAGTAATAAAGGGAGACATGCTTGTTGTGTCTGACAGCTCAAAGTGTCAGGCTAAAAATACATTTAATAAGATCCTTTGAAACATTACACATCATGCAAGCCACACTGTTTAGCAAAGGGCTGCTGACCAAAAAACAACTTCAGTGAAGGAACTGGATATATCTGCTAAATAACTGCACTGAACTCCATTCTTTGGCAAAGTAGCATTTTTGATTTTTTTTTTTTAAATAAATACAGTAAAACTTGTTATAATTTCAATTCATTACTAAATTTCTTAGAAAATAATAGGAGGAACATGAAACAAATTATGAGAATTGTGTAAATACTATGATACTATGATGAAATCGACCCAGTTCTTACATTGAAGCATTGAAGTATGTTTATCTAACAATAAAACTTAATTTAATATTTACGTTTTCACTCTTATCCATGGGTTTTAAATTTATGTAACAAATTTTAGTACTTTATGCAAAAATTATTATTCTAACTAAAAAAAAATTGCAAAGTTTCACCAAAGATTTGCATATTCAGCCACATATTCATGAATTACATCCTTACATGGTTTGTGGTTCTTGGCAGAGCATTGGCAAGACTATCGGATAACCTCTGCAGAGTTTCTCTCTTGTTTACCTCCAGTGCATAATTCTTCCATCTCCCCCTCAGATAAGTGCCACGGATGCACTGGTTTATCTACATGATTCATCAGTCCAAGCCACCCTCTTCCATCAGGCCATGGTCTCACTCTGATGCTTGCATTCCCATTACAAGCGTGAAAGCATACTAACATCCAGACAAGCAATAACTACTGTGTGCTATGGACGAAAGTCGCTGCATGTCGTCCCACGTGTCTCTGCAATAAATAGTGTTGGTTTTCAGCCACACATCTCTCTTGAAATTGAACCACACAAGTCAGGTTTAGATCATTAAGTTCCTGTGTCCGTGACCTTAGCCGCAATAACAAACTATCATTGCATCCGTTACACATTTAGTTTATTGACCAACGGCGCATGTAAAATCCAGTGTAGGAAGTCATATAAATAGTTAAGAGATCTACAAAGTAGTGTGTAATTCTGACAAAGGGTTGTTTTTTTTCACTTAAACTGTAGCGCTGTGTGGGGTTATGGTTCCACAAGTTTTCCATCTGTAGACACAGAAATGTGCCTGGGTCTATTTGTAAGATTTGTTTTGTTTATTTATTTTCGCAGGAAGGGTTACCAGCAGTCTTTCGTTGGTAGCATTGAACAGGAATAAATATCAAATACCGTGGTTGTTAAATGACTAAATACTGGAGAATCAATCAAACAAACAAGAAATAAATAATCAGAGCAACAAGCAGCATTGGAGGCCCTTGCAGCTCAGTGCCGCTCCGGCCTCATGGCGACTGCCGGAGCTCCAGAAACATCACCCATTTGCCATTGTCAACTATCTCACGTAGTTAGATAAACAATGCACACCAATGTGTTGAGCACTGATGATGCACAAAAAATCCAGTGCAGATCGGTTGATGTGTCGCCTCTTGGAAGAATCTGGGGGGTGCAGTGGAGTGTAGTGGAGCCCAATAGCATTAAAGGTCAATTATAATTATAAGTGAAAGTTATTCCACCTTGTGGGTGAAATTTGGTGTGTGCTTGGACATAATAAGGCCTCCAAAAAGCTTTATACTTTGCCAGAAAAATTATAACAATAAAAAAATTTTTAAAAATCCCCTGATTACAAGAGGCCTTCACAGCGCTTCACTGCTCTGGCTTAGTAAAAATGTGTTCAAAATACAGGCAGACAGCCTAGGTGACTCATTAGCTCATCATTTGTTTACCATAATATAAGATGTTTCTTCATTTTTTTATATTATCTATGTTTAAGCATTTGTTGACTTAGATTAAAATCTAAAAGTTGTTCTCAGCATTTCTACCACAGTCTGGTGCATGTATAACCTCCAACCTCACACATTTTTTGTTCTCTTAAAAGTCAGATCTAAAATCCAGAGCGAAAGTAAATATGCTAGTGATTCACTTGAGTGCTATTGAGCATGTTTTACTTGCACATTAGTACTTGCCTGCAGTTTGAAAGAAGCATTTGTACTTACAGGGTTTTATGACCGTGAACAGAAAAGAGGAGAGGGAATCACATGTGTATTTTTGACCTCTGTCTGTTCATCTTTCTGAATCGTACAATTATCTCGAGCCGTATAGAAAACTGGGACAGAGAAAATATTTTCTGCCTCTGATCTGAAATTTCTCACCAGCAGTGACAAGAGAGCATGCTGTGCTGTCCAAGAGAATAAAACATGTCATTTGGCCTTGTTTGATTTTCAAGGCAACTTTCCACGCTGTGACAGAAGGTGGAACATTGCTTTGTTAAAGCATATATGAAATTTTCATTCAGATGCTGTATAAGATATGGATGAATGAAATATGTCCCTGTACTCCAAAATTAATTCAGATTGCAACCTGCAAATCCTGTTTTCCTCTGTCATAGAGTTCAGTACGATACAATTAATCAATTTATTTACCAATCTGGCGACTCTAACAGGCAGTGGGTTGATCTTTATTTTATTTTGCGGTTTCAGATAAAGGGTGCATAAATGTGTGCTGCTTTATTGAAAAACATTAAAAACTATGTTTCCCCACCATTAGTTTATGTTGCAACTTTTACACCAAATCCCAACCAAATGAGTCAAAACTGTTTATGTCGTAAATAACAGGTTTATAACATTTTTGTATTTGTTTTGGGTAGCATTAAGTGTAAATGTGATAGAGGGATAAATGTGTACTCATTTCACACTCTCAGGAGGCCCTGAGCATCCATGGCATTCCAGTAAAGCCATTTGTCTGTTTAGCATATTTTAAGCAATCAACTTTAGTAGTAACTATTGTCAGAGTTGATTGAAATAATGAGAAGAAGATGGAGACAAAAGTAATGGATATTCCACACTTTACATACAAAAACTTGGAGCAAAATGGAAAACTAGATAGTCAGGCAAGCATAAAGGTGCATCAGTTTTGACCTTCCTTAATGCAAGAGGAAAGTAACCGGCATGGAATGCTTATGAGAGAAACTGAGATATTTTAGTTATTAATTGCTACAAGGTAAGGCTTTATTACTAAGATGAGACTGTATTTCTTCTATGTACCAGCCATTTCTCCTGGTAATCATGGAAACGATAGCTGCTTTTAACCTACAGCCAAATCTCAGAGAGAAGTTATCCAAGAATGCAAATTTAGTAGCTTCAAATTGGCATTTATGCTTAGTGGCAATGCCTGACTCGGTGCAATGGGGTACAATGTGTTATTGGCTGATTTCTGCAAATATGTATCAGGAAATTGCAAAACGGTTTCCCAAAATGTAATTGATGCAATTTTGAACAACTCTCATGCATATATTTGTCAACTACATATTCCACTCAGTCCACAGCTTGATGACAGTTGTGCAATTTTTAAGGTGCGCCATAATTTACAAGTGAGAATTTCAGAGTCTGACTTCTAGTTTGGCTTCACATTTCAGAAGTCTGCCGGAGTTCATCAAACTTTGATTAATATTTCAAACTGTTCATTTCTCTAGACACTTTTTTTTTTTTTAAGTTTGAATGATTCAAGTCTCTTTCAGCAAAGAAATGTCAATATTGGAATTTGAGTTTGACTGAAGATGGGAAGACAATGTAGCACATATGAGTTGTGCCATGTTTACTTTATAGATTGAATTTGCAGCAATAAACAAAACAGTTTTCCTTCGAAATGAATCCCTTTTGAGTTAAAACAGTGCTTTTAAAATGACTGAAAATTATTTATGTACTTCTTAATAATGAATAGAAAAAAAACTTAAACCTTACTATATAATCTGTAGCAGAGCCACTGCATTGTATATCTCTAGTGATATATAATCACTGGAGATTGTTCAATCATATCTAGTGATTGATTAATTCAAAATTGTTTAATCAATCATTAATTATTAATGATTGATTATCAGAATATATCATTGTTTTTTTCAATTTCAGCTTTCTCAGGACCAACTATTGATTTTTTTCAGATGTTCATGTTTATATGAAGTGAAATGTATTTTTTACCGACAGCACACTGGAAAAAATTATGTTTCTTTTCATTCATTTTGTTACTAATGATAAAACATGATGCTGTTTTGCTTGTATGCTTACTTTATGTCAAAATTAAACTATGGAATCTATAATTTACATTTTTTATATAGGTTTTTTGTCAGCAAAGTTGTTTTGATATCTTTTTTCCTCCTCTTAGTTTCATATCAACTCCAGTCATCTCCTTTAGCAACTCTTTCCTGCTCAGTGTCTTGGGGGGCCAGCAGGCAATGAATGAAGCAGTTATTGGTTCATCACCAAGCCAATGCATATAAAAAATGGATGTTCATGTTTTTGAAATGGACCTCTTTTCTATGATGCAACAGTGCTAAGAACTGTGGTAATATTCAGTGCTGCTGTTCAGTCTGCTTAAGTCTTGTTCATCCTCTACAATTAAAATGACATATTTTCTTCTCAGTAACTCCTCTTTTCTTGCCTTTTGCTTTCAACGGAGCATGGCTCTAAAATGCTCCTAAAGTAAAGCCAAAGAGAGTTTAACAGAATGTAGATTTGTTCATAACCACCAAGGAGCTCTAAGCTAGCTTGCCTTGACACACATGCGATCACATGTTTGCAAATTTTTATCCCACCATCCGCGGTTTTGTCTTGCTTTGCAGAAGCAGACAAACAGTTTTTGGAAGCTTTTCATTTTTTTGGCCTAACATCCATGGAAATGTGCTCTAATGGCCTGCAGCCTCTTTGGGTATCTTTCCACACATAGATTTTGATTGGCAGCCCAGGGGCTCAGGCAGTATTACCACAGTTATCTCACTGCAGCACATCCCAAACAGCACTCATAGCCACCAGAGCTGTCTGTCACGTCGGTTAGTTTGCAACCCACAGACATCTGAACACTGGGATAAAAATTCAAACCTACCCTGAACCATTTCCACTAAAGAAAATATTAAGAGACATTGTGATATTTATCGAACCTGAGATAAGTCAAAGTTGGCTCCTCAGGGAAAGGTTCTTAAAATCTACAAAGTGAGATGTTTGGGATTTTATTCTTGCCTTATTTGAAGGGGATTCTACTATTACAAATGCAATGAAAATCCTCTGTGTGTGTCACAAACAAAATGATTTCAATAATTTGATTAAAAAAAATCTGTGCTTTATAGGATCTTTTTAGTGTGAAACTATTCACTTCAACTTCATTCAGTCTAACTTTTTTACATTTTGATCAAGAGATAACCAAAAGAAGTCCAGACTCATTCAAGCAGATGAAAACTTGAGTGTTGTTCAGTGCAAGCAGTTAACCTGGCTGGGATATTCTAATAGTCCTCAGAAATCCTAACTTCATTTCGAAGTATCTGACATGTTTCTAGGCTAACGCCTGTTTCCAGGTTTGTAACCCTAAGAGAAGTCATTTTTAGTCAATTTCTCTATGACTTAAAATGGACAAATAAACTCAACACACATCTACCATACGAACCACAGCTACATGTTTTCTTACATTTGCCATATTAAGAAGGGTTTGGACAAATGTGCCTGTTATATAAGAAATCAGATTTTATCGATTATAAATTACAAGGTGAGTCACATTCTGCTCAATTTGAAATTATTGCATGAATGATGAAAAATAAACAGATATTTTCGATATAAATTGTGGTGACAATTTGTCTAACTAAATTCATTTAGTTTTCTTACTGTGAGATTATGCTTCTCCAAGTCAGAAAGTAGTTAATTGTATGTATCTGTCCAGGGGTGCCAATACTTTTAAAAGGCACTACATCTATCAAATGATAATAATAATTCTCATTGCCTCCATGTGTTTCTTTCAGACTCCCATGGGATGGATCTGTTTGCAGTCGCAGTTCATGAGTTTGGTCATGCCATTGGCCTGGTCCATACCTCAGCTATGGAATCCATCATGAGGCCATACTACCAGGGTCCTGTGGGAGACCCGCTGAAATACGACCTACCCTATGAGGATAAAGTCCGTGTCTGGCAGCTCTATGGTAAAAAGACACCTCCTTGTGTGTGGGTGTGTGTGAAAGGACACTATTGACTCCACTGGGTGAGGTTATTGATTAATGAGAACATGGATGGAGTTAATTGAAACTCTTTATGGTATATGACCTTATCATACCATTTCCTGCTATGGGGAGGACTGCAGTAGAGAGAATAATGATCATGAAGGGCTGCATGAAAGGTGGGAAAGCCTGTTAAAGGACAGGGCTGTAAGAATGGATGATTTCTTTTAAATTAGGGAAATTAAAGATAAACACAAGCATAAAGACAAGAATGACAAACATTGTTGCGTCAAATTGATTGCAAAAGATAAAAAAAAAAAAAAAGACATCTGTCCTATTGTTGCAATTTTATGTATAGGCAATGAATTGACCAGACATTTCTTTATGTTTTAACAGCTGTCTTGTCTCTCTCTCTGGAATAATCATCTGAAATCTGCAGGTGTCAGAGACTCTGTGTCTCACACGAATCAGCCAGGCAGCCCGTCTCAAACCCCTGAGCCTCCCGTCCTCCTCGACCTTCCTGAAAACAGATCCACGCTTCTGTAAGTGAGAGAAAAACCTAAGAAACATTATATGATCTATGGTAATGTCTTCAGATTTCATATGTTCCTATTATTCTCAAGTCAAACAAATTGATGAATCAGTAATGGAGATCGTTTTACAAGCAGTTCAGTTTAGATAATAATATAAATGGTGCAGACAGTATGATTATGTAAACCCAAACAGTCCAGTTAAAATATATGCTCATACTGAAATTTATTTTATTGTGATTGCATGTGATGAACATCAGCAAAGAAGATTGTGAAAAGAACAAAATTACAATGAAAAGTGTGGTGGGTAGCGTGGTGGCACAGTTGGTATAGAAATTAGAAGCTTTTCACTTTCTCTTTACTCTCTTCTGTTGGGGTATGAGAGAAACAAATAAAAATTATATGTATTTATTTTTTATATATTTTTGTTTGTAAAATTAGTCGAGTCCTTCGTATTAACATCTATATCCACTACTTTGTGTTGGTGTCTCATACAGTTCCAATGAGACACACTGAAGTTTTTGGTTATCAAAAAGGTGAAAAGATATTGCAAAATGCATTGTATGACACTGTATTAAATGACAAATTAAGTGATATCCAAGGACTTTAAAAATTGACTGAATCATGTCATTAAATTGTCAGATTCAGAGATTATTCATCTCTTGAGCTAAAGGAAAGGTTAGCATGCTCAAGGCAATGTGCTTCCATATACAGTTCATGGAGTATCACTGCTAATTTCACTTTTTAAATTTTGTGACCGTTTGGGCATTTCCTCATCATTTAACTTCTGGGCCAAATAATGAGTTAAGTCTTGAGAAGAGTAAAAATGCTCAGAAATGGCCAATGAAGCATAAAATGATTGGTGAATATGTATTAAAGGAGATTAAAAGAAGAGGACCGATTCCATTACAGTCCTTTTTTGAATGTAGTTTATTAGAAAATTTGATTTGAGCTTGAAAATGGGGCACATTAGAGTCATAAGCATTCATCATACATCATGGTACTGGATGTGTTGTCTGATCAGAAGGACAGTAGACAGAAGGGATATGAAGCATTTAAAAGTCTAACACTTAATACTCAGAGTATTTTTTTATTGCGCCATACTTCTTACTTTTATTACTTGAGTAATATTACTGTGAAGGATTGGCACTCTTTCTTGAGCACAATTTCTAGCTATCTTCTCTAGTATAGCACCAGACATAGATACGCAGGAGTGAGACTTATTATCTCAATCTATCTGTCTGCTGTACCATTCGAAGGTCAATTAAATATATAGGAAATAATATATAGTCTCAGCTGAAGTACACTTGGCGTCGAATATGCCAACTGCAGCTACTGTAAGCACTGGCTTCAAAAGTTTAATGGGGTGAATAATTTGAAATTGGAATTGTGTTTCTTCTGCCTTAATGTTATTTTAGTGTGTATTTTTTCTTTAAAGAGATGCTTCAGACTGTTATTCAGTCCTTCAGTAGGCATTTTAAATGATTTTTTTTTTTTCTCACTCTCTTGAGTCAGTTTCCGGATCACAACTTTTCACGGTTTAGACATTGAGATGACATCAAAGCATATGGCTGTCACCTGACAAAAGGTGTGCGATTATTTTAGCGAGGCACTGAACAGTACCTCAGCACATTTGTCACTAGATTCATTGTCGTTCGGTTGTAGCTGTTGCCTGTTTTAAAAAGCAGAACGTGTCTCATGTTTTATCTTGGTGGAGGCCGTTTCCATACTAATATAATGCAAAGCCTTGTGTTTATGCATCACCGTAAGACGACTATATGCTGCATGCAGACTTCCAATTTGGTAGCAGAGTGTTTGACCATATAAATTAAGCTGCATACTTAACCACCTTTAGAAGCAGAAAGCTCACAAAGACGTGCGTGATCGGGGAAAAAAATCCTTCTGAAATAATTCTCATGCAAATACTATTAAATGCATGCAGGTTAACATGGTTTATATTCCTGTCACTGAATATTAGCAGTGCCCTCCTTCACGTAACCTTGTTTATTGTTGTTGACATGAAGCACATTTATAATTTGAGTAAACAATACATTAACCTTCAATGTTTCATACTGCTGAACAAAAAAAGCAATGCTTAAAAATTCTTAACTGCATATCTAATGTTTACTGTTGAAATAAGAAGCGTTAAAAACAGGAATGGTTATGAATATAAATATTTTTTTACTATGCATCATTAAATGTGAGGAGGAAAACCAACCAGTATGTACAAGAATTAAGATCATTGTGTAAAGTGGACGATGAAAGTAATTCCCAAAGTTTATCAAAACAAGCTGGTTTTGGTAGATAGTTCTAAGTCAGTGTAATAGATGTAGGATTATAATTATTAGTATTAAATGTGGTAATAGAAACACCATGGTGGGTTTGCATGTAAGAGCAAACAATAACTTTTACACCTTAAATTAGTTTGAAACGCTGAAACAGCCATAAAAGAACCAAATTTGTTGAATCCTGCTTCAAATCCAGCTGAACATCTGCGAGGAGAGTTGAAACCAACACCTGTGAGATAGGAGCCAATAAATTTTAGATGGCTGCTGCAGTTTGTTCAAAGAGACGGTCAAAGCTACGAACTGAGAAATCTCATAAAGGGTTTAAAAGACATTAGCAGAGACTGCCTTTATGTGTGTAACAAAATGATGGCTTTGGATGAGCTCCAATAGTCTGTCTTTTATTTGTTCATTCTGACTCGCCTTCATTCGTTTTCTTTTTTTTCTTTACTCTGTCTTCATTTCTCTCTTTCGTTTTTCTGTTTTAACCCATTTTCCTTTTTCTTCAATCTTAGATCCTCCCTCTCTCTCTTCCCTGAACTTTTTCATTTTCTGCCTTCTTCCTTTTGTCTGTCATAATCTCTTCCTCTCCATCATACAGTCATTCCCTTTCTCTTTCCATCAACATCTGTATTCTTCTCTTTAATCTTGTTGCCTAACTTTTCTTCCTATTTTCCCTACCTCCTCCTGTCTTCTCCTTTTCCTGCTCTTCTTTCCTTGTATTCTTTCTTGATTTTCTCTTTCCTTTTTACCTTCCTTGACTGTTTCCTTTATTCTTCCCTCAACTCCTCCATTATTTCTGACTTTCTTTAATTCCTTTCCTCCTTTCTGTCTGCTTTATTTCATTCCTTTGGTTTTTTTTCATCCTTCATTCTTTCCTCTTTTCCTTCTTTCCTTCCTGGCTTCCTTCCTTCCTCACCTCCTTAAGCTAAAGGAAAAATATACACAAATCTAAAACATCTTTGAACCCAACCTTGTCTGTTCAAAGTTTCCTTCCTCTTTTCTTTTTTCATAAGCTACCTTCATGTTGTTCTAATTTAAAACTAGAATATCAGTGTCTCCTCTCCTCTGTATAAGCCAGCTCAAGAGTTAATTATTCATTCGGTCTATCACTGTAGTTTTTGTTAATTAATGAACCTTCAGAGGGCAAGTTCTTTGTCATTATGTGCCATTTTGTGATTCATTATAATTTTGTATTATTAAGATGTGTACTTAAACATGCTTGCAGTGCAGATACAGCCTTGGTTCCTCGGAGAATATTCACTCTGATAGAGTATCTAATACATTCATGCTAAAAAAAAATATAAAAATTAAATTCTGGTGATAATACAAAGACCATCAGACTCACAGAGAAGCAGCTGTGGTACTGATGTCTTTATCATTAGCAGACTGATGCCTCAGTGCTCCGAATCACTTACTAATAGAAGAACATGTTGCAGCTACTACATAATGCTTAACCCATTCAACTGAAAGAAATGCATTCAGTTTTCTAAATTCAGTGCAGTTTTACCTTTTTTTTGGCCTATGTATTCAAATGACTTTTAACTGATTTAATAAAACAACTTTAGGTCTTTTAAGCCCTATCACACAGTTGCACACCTGTTTTTATTTTGTTTGAAAATACGCAACCTTCAGAAGATAATGTTCTATTTCTGTTCTCGTGAAACTGAAAATATGTCATTTAACCTCCAGTCAAGCCACACAACCTCAGATTCATTTGGACATGATTTAAAATAACAATATGGGATGAGCATCTCAACTCAAACATGAACAATATATATACTATAAATATGCACCACAGTTTATGTAAGTTCAACACCAGTGTTGCAGCAGATACCTAATAATTACAATGTGCAGCATTATACAAACACACACCCTGTTGACATCGTTTGAAGTGGCAGGTCCACCAGGGGAGGTCCTGTGATTTTGTTATTAATCCAGCTACAATTAATATAGAAAGATCAGGGAGCTTTCTCAGTCTGAAGAGACTGTTAAATTTTGATCCCAAGATGATCAAATGATCATTAAGTATAGTAGAAAAAAATGATTAGGGTTACACCTCTGCAAAAATGAATGCCAACATTATGTATTTTATGCCTTTCACACACAGACTATATGCAACAGAGGCATAATAACACTCATTTATGACAGAATTCTGGTCATGTTAATCATTATTGAGAAAATACACAAGATTCATAAGTGTGAACTCATGTAAAAGGCATTTTATGTGCAACATACATTGCAAGATAGATACAGTGTGATAATGACTTTATATCAAGCTACTGTAGATATGTATAGTTGCTGATGGATACAAAATGATATAAGAAAATTATATAAGATAATGCGTACAAAATGCATATAAAGTGATATGAGATAATGATGTATGAAATAAAATTTAAAAATGGTTTATAAAAATGATATTGTAGTGGAAATAACAAATATCCTCTACCGTTTTCTTCACCTAACAAGATCATTTGTGTTTTTTCATGGTGTGTTTTGTGTTGTTGTTGCTGTTCTGTAATTGCTACTGTCAAGTGATTGTTTACAGCCCCACTCTTTTCCCAGTTTGTGTCCCCATTTCATACCAACACGTTGCCATTTTATCCCAACTTGCTTCCATTTCATACCTTTGTTCATTTACATATCTGCTTGGTTCTTTTGTTAAATATTTTAAGGAATTATAACAATAAATTATTATAAAATCTTCAAATAAAAGATTTAAACATTTGTAGGTTGTTGAAGGTTTTCAATTTCATCTTATTTTCATTGCTTGTCGTTCTGATCCTTATTTGAACTGGATCAACTTGAGAAAATATGGCAGGTTATGACATCTTTTTTAAACTAAAGTCACCGAGATCCCTCCTGATGTGTATTTATCAGATTTTCATAACTAGATTTTATATTTTTAAAAAAAAAAGGTTTAAGTAGATTAAAGAAAATTACTTTGAATCATCTCCTGTCAAACTGGGTATGAACTGTCCGATGGGTGCAACGTATCTGTGGCCAGCATGGCAGAAACCTGTGTTTTGATGCTGAATTATTCCTGCTTTCTTTGCGCTCTTCAGTTACTGATTTGTTCTTTCAACTTCTTACGTTTAAAATTGCTGTGTCTTTGTCAGACTGGCACAAGATGCTCCAGACAGGTGCACCAGTCACTTTGATGCTGTAGCCCAAATACGAGGAGAGGCTTTCTTCTTTAAAGGTAACCAAAATGGGGATAGGTTGTGTTTCTTTAATATTATTATGACCTTTATATATATATATATATATATATATATATATATATATATATATATATATATATATATATATATATATATATATATATAAATACAGCAGATGGATCATACAGTGTTTATTTGGTGCAAAATGATATCAAATGAATTAATTTACAGATGAATAGGTTCAGTGTGGTAAGTAATATCTGGTGAAGATGATCAACCAATCTATGTATTGTCCTTATAATGTAGTTTCTCTGTGCTGTATTTAATAGATGTTGAAATATAATATCCAGAAAAGGTTGGTGCTTGGATTTCAGCTGGAAGAAAAGTGAATTAATCATGCAATATATATGTAATTTAAAAGAAATGGAAAATGATAAAAAAGGATGACAACTCAGGAACACAGTGAACCATTGGTTTATTTTTTAATGCTTTTTTTATGCTAAATATGTTTTTTGTTGCAGTGTAATAAGGAAGATGCATGCATACAAGTGCATGTTTGCTTCAGATTCTTAAGATAACGACAAGACAGAAAACAGAATAACAAAGGTCCAAAGACTAAATCTTGCAAGACACTGGGAGATTAATTATAATACAATTGGCCTATCAGGGAGTGTAATGAAAGTTTTTGTTTACTTAAGGTAGAATCAAGACACAGGAAACTCAAACCTGCTTCCAATAAATATTTTTTTTCCTCCAAAGTGTAGGTTATGAACTTTCAATTCTCACTGGTAGTTAGAACAATATCCACAAACAAGAGACTGATGCAGACAGCAGTTTCTGGATATGAGGGGCAACAAGAGAAAGGGTAAAAAACAAGAATTTATTTATAAAGACTGGAACAAGACTAACGGAGACGCTGAGTCACTGCACTGGCACAATGTGGTAGAAAGAGACCCACAAGACCACAGCTGATTGGATCGGACTTGCAGGTGAAACCAATCACTCACACACCAGGATGGTGTCTGAAAATTAAGCAGAAGAGGGAAAAGAGAGAGGGAGAGCAATTTCCCCAGCCATGGGAGCAAGAAACTGGCAGGCATGACTGTAGACCCTTTGCAGCAAATGCCTTCTGGCACAAAGTATGGGGGTTACAGCAATAAAAATCACTAAGAAGAGGGTCGGGGGATCTTTTGGGATGAGGCCATCACTCTTCTGGGCCATAAAGCTTCCAATTCACCAAGAATTCAAGGCTGTGTTCAGAAGCTCCACTGTCTGCCTATGACATTGGGTGATGAGAGAGAATGGGCACACAGGAGACTGAAAGAGACCAATTTGAATTGAGACTCATTAAAGGAGTGATGATTGCAAAGAAAAAAGGCAACTAAAGGCGGGAGGCTCATCTCTAATTAGTAGAAGAGAAATGGAAAAGTAGAAAGTGCTAATTTTTGTATTTAACAAGTATGTTGATGTTACTCAGCCTTTTAATAGGAAACTGATTAAGTTTCTTGTACAAAAAAAAAAACTGTTCATCCCCATTGAACTTTTCCACATTTATGTGGTGTCACCATGAACGTGGATATATTTTAAGATTTTATGTGATAGACCAACACACAACAGATTTGTCCAACGTTGAAATAAAATTATTTTTCACTCCTAAACATTGTATAAGTGTGACATATCTTTGCATTCCACCCCTTTCTTTCCACTGACATCTCTAAATAAAATGCAGCACAAACCATTTTTGAAGAGTCACCTAATTGGTATATAGTGTGAGTATGCCATGTAATATGTTCTCAATGTACAATACAAGTTGTGGAAAAGTATGGTTAGGTTATAAAACAATGTTTCAAGCTTCTCACATAGCATATTCAAGAGGGCAACTCTTGAAGAGCTGTAGAGAGTCACAGTTCAGCCATGAGAATCTGTTGACAAGACCACTATTAGTCTTACACTGCATAAATCTGACCTTTGTGGAAGAATGCCAATGAGGAAATCACTGTTCAAAGAAGGTCATAAGAAGAATTTGCATTTTGCCACAAGTCATCCTCAGAGGGAAGAAAGTGCTTTTTCTATTTGCAGCATATGTTTTTCTATAAATTATCAACAAATTTGTGTTGGTCTGTCACAAAAAAATCCCAGTTCAGTACAACAATATGAATAGAGATTTGTTGGTTTTCTTGTCCAGAGCACTGTGGTGATATTTTGTGCTGCACAGAGCTCCTTCAACATGACTCTGTAACATCCTGCAGGGCAGGATTTGTCCTCCTCTTTAGTTTGACTTTGTTAGCCTGAGGATATGATCATACAAACCCATAAGGAGGTACAGAAATACCAAATACTCTGAGACTATGTTAGACAGGAACTGCTGTTTTACTAAGAGGTCATAAGTTTCTTTATTATTTTTTATTATTATTTATTATTATTATATTTCTTTCTCATAAAATATAATACCCAGAACTGCACAATTTACATCCTGTCAGTGTGGTATCAAGAAAGAAAAAGATGACATGTATAAAGATTTGTATTTGTTTATCACAAGCATAACACTTGCCAAAGTACAATTGAATATTTATTCAATCTTATGGCATGTTAAAACCTTATCTCTCAGTTCAAAAAGGTCAATAATTACAACAACTTATGCACAATCTGATAAATCTCTGGTCTTTGTACATCTTTCAGTTTTATGCAGTTGTTTGATATCTCTTGAATAAGCTTCAGTTCTAAAATGCCTTAATCTGAATCTTTGACCCTTTAATCCACAAATTTTTAATTCTGTACTTTATTTGACTTATTTGACTTATTCGATGGCCTGTCCTGTCCGGTCACTATTCAGTACTGAAAAATAGCAAATTTTGTTATGTGTTTTGTCAAGCTGACTGAATTATTTTCTTTTTTAGACTGTTTCCCTGTCGAGGTCTTGACTCTAATTTAGCATAAAGTTTAGTTGGATAAAAGAAGGGGACATTTAAAGGGGCTGGTTGTATTTGTATTCCCTTTCTTTCCTCCTATCCTTAGTTTTTAGCTAAGCCATTTGTCTTGATTACATAGCACCACAAACTGAGCCAGGAGAATGTATTCTGAATTGCAGCTCCTTATAAACCACTCTCAGATGTTGTGATTGGTCTATTTTCCATCAAGATGAAGGAAGGCAACATCCATCTGTTGTGGGAGATCTGTCCAGTGTCACAATTTCAAAAAGAAATATGTGCTTGTCTGCTTGTCTTGAAGATGTTTGAAAAGGTTAAAGGTGTACCTTCTCGGGCTTTTGTTGGATTGTACCAGAAGGAAACAAATAGTGGCAGAATGGAGGAGTAAAAAAGAGCATGGAGAAGATGAAAAGAAGAAGACGAGAGCTGACATGATGGAATGAACAGACAGATTGATGGGTGGTATTCCCAGGGATTAGCTAGTATACCACTGTTCTAAATAGAAATAACCAAGAATCGGAAGGAAAACGGAAGCAAGTTGTGAGTCAAGTAAAATACTTTCATGATAAACTAGAAAGAACAATGTTAGAATTGCACAAAAAGGGATTTAACTCCCTAAGCCCAGATAACAACAATTGAATACCGGATGACAAAAGCTGTACAACAGGAGAAACATAGATTGAATAAAGGATTTTTGGATTAGCAGCAGGTGTGCTAACAGCACAGAGGGGGCTGCTGAATGATCAAAATCGCTCCATTTGATGCATTTCCTCATAAATTCAGCTAATAGTTATTTTGTCACTTGGCTGTAGTCACAAAATGCATTTGTTAGATCATAAGTCGGTGACATGATATCAGCAGCAATACATCTTGCCATGACACACCAGAAGACGAATTGTATCTAAATGCACATGATGTATACAAAGTGGATGTATTTTAATGATGTCACACTTAATACAAATTAGCGACAGGACTTTTGCTCCTTCATTTCTTGACATTTAAATCTAGTAAATTTCCTTGTTCAGACACAGAAGTGGTAAAATAAACAGTGAGACAGCAGCTTCAATCAAACTCCAACCCTCATCAGTCTTGAACACATTATGAACAATTTCTGCCATCTAAAAGGGGTTATTATATTTAACAGTATAAATGTAAACTTTCCAAATAATTGTTAGGTTCTTTAAGTTGTTTTTATCCTTTATAAACTGTATTTCTTGTTAGAATACTTTACTTTTTTGATTAAATCAGCTGAAAGAAATAAAGTACAGCCAGCACTCCATTTGGGAACATTTCCATTTGGGGTTTCTCTTAGCAACCTTCTTTGGAGAAGCTCTTATGTAGTCTCTTCTGGTTCTCATAGGGAAGTACTTTTGGAGGCTAACAAGGGAAAAGCACCTGGTGTCTCTCCGTCCGGCTCACATTCATCGCTTCTGGAGGGGGCTTCCTCCCAATTTGGATAGCGTGGATGCTGTTTACGAGAGGCCAGGGGACCACAAAATAGTATTTTTCAAAGGTGAGTTTTTACTCCTGATTCAATGTTGCTTTTATTTTGATTTGCCTTTCTGAACAAGAAAAACATTTGCATAGCTTTGTGAATTATTTCTTTTATTGCAATGTTTGTCCTGAATCCTCAGGTCAAAAGTATTGGGTATTCAAAGACAATAATGTTGAGGAGGGTTACCCACGTCCAATTAGTGACTTCGGCCTACCTGTGGAAGCAGTGGATGCAGCGTTTGTTTGGTTACACAACGACAAAACCTACTTCTTCAAAGATAACTACTACTGGCGTTACGACGACCACTTGCGACACATGGACCTTGGTTTCCCCAAAGACAGCACGCTTTGGAAGGGGCTGCCACTCCAGCTGGACGATGCCATGAGGTGGTCTGACGGTGAGAAGCCACAAACATTCACACTTCATTATTTGATACTTTTATATTAGCTAAAAGAGGGTAGCCTATCATTTTCTGCATGTGATGCAAACCTGTTCAGTGAATTAGAATATTATTGAAAAGTATTTTCAAACTGATGTTTTCAAGCTTTTATGTTAATCATAGTGATTTTTTGTTTACAGCTAATGATAAAAGCAGTGAAGGTTAGAATAATACACCAAATGAATGCAAAGACCATCTTTGATTTATGGGTTTAATGAAAAGTATGTTTAATACTTGAGGTTATTTTAAAAATATGACAAACGAGCCTCATCTGAACACTATTATGATTTACAAAACTGACAATTAGAAAGACATATCACTTAACAATGAGAACCTGCAAGATTTTGTGACCTGTGCTCTATCTTTTCAATTGAAATTAAATTAAATTGTAATTTGAGCCTGATTTACATGAACATGCAGAAAAAAACTGAATAACATTTCTGATACTTTACCATGTTTTATTATAAACTGTAAGATGTGTTTTTTTAACTTTCATTTCTGAAAAGGTTATTTTAGCTGCTGGTGTATGTGACAGTCTTTTTTTAATTTCAACAGGAATCCAACCATTTTGACATATATGTATAACTTTTTGATAGCACAGGAACAATGTAGGCTTTGATTGGATGTTTTTTTGTTTTCGTTTTTTTTCCCCATATTTTACCAACGCAGTGTTGGTAACTGGGATGTTTGAGCACCCCAGTTATGAGCACAGGTTGTTTGAAAATTATTTAATACCCTATGACTAATGTCTTCTGCTGTAATTAACTTTTGGGAAAGGTTTGTTGGAAAAGGTTCATTTGCTGTTTCAAATGACTGAACTTAATATTTTTTGACATTGTTTTTATTCCCATAATAAGAGGAGTATTTTTAAGTTTTACCATGTTATAGTACAGTTTAAATATTTGTTTTTTACTTGAGATTGGCATTTCCCAATACAATACTATGATATAGAATTTGCCCACTTAAAGGTTTATTCAGGTTTTCCTCACATTTGGAGGTTTTGGATCATTAAACACTTGTTAATATTAGACAAAGATAACCTAAGTAAATACAAAATACAGATTTTATTAAGGAAAATAAAATATTTGAACAAACCTGGTCCAAGGTTTTTTGTTTCTTAGTTTTACAGGATTGTCAGTTATTAGAACTGAATATATATTGTGAAAAAAAATTGGGTAATTACACTTAATTCATAAAAAACAGAAGATCTGTAAATGCAAATACTAAAAATGCTTTTCCAAAGCACAGGCGGACCTAATGAATTTTAAATATTGTGCCCTGGTAAGTAAGAGACATTGAACTTTCTTCCCAACATGATAGAAATCTTAAACCCTGCTCACGCTTTAGTTGGGAAAACTTCGCAGGAAGTCCAATTGAAATTCAAATTTCCATTCGGAACTCTGTTTAAATAGCTCAATTTGGCTCACAAAGACCCCGTAAAAAACTATGCATGAAATAAAAGGCAGTTTAATGAGGAGTCAGAAACAACACATTTTATTACAAAACAGGGTATTAAATGTGGTAGAGATTTTGGCTGCAGTTGCTGGCAGGTCAGTTCTTTAATAATACATCCAGGCCCCACTGATTTCTTAACATTTTTGACTTTTTGAAAGCCAGCTGGTCATTGCTATTCCCAGCATTGTTCCGTAGTATTTTATTTATGAGCGCATTCTTGCACAAACAGCAGTTATTGTACAAACTCTTGGAAAAGAAGATGTGGCCAAGTGCTCCACAACAGAAGCTATAAAGCATGCAGTGGTCTTGGAAAATAAAATATCTGGACTATAAACCTTTTAGAAACTAGCTGCTGAAATTTAAAGACTGAAAACTTTTTTCAATTACACTTGGTCAATGTAGCACAAGAGTTTTGGCCTTTCCACCATGAACACAGTAAAAATCTCTGTCAGGTGTCATGAATCCACTAGGTGCCACTGTGAGCTCAGTGGTCCCACAGGGAGCACAGAAGTTTAAAAAAAAATCTAAAATGGGGTGACAGGTTCTCCAATCTAATCAAAGGGGTGAGACAGGGAACATTTCTCCAGCTTTAACCTCTGCACACTGTTGACTCCATCATGATCCACTCCCCCTGATCTATCTTCTACTGCAACAACACGGCTTGTTTCAGAGTGTTTGGATGCCACCGAAGCAAGACAAAAGGATATAAAAGTAACGGCTGATTTTACTTGGTGGCTGCCCACTTGTTTCACTTCAGTTCAGTCTTCAAACTCTTAAGCCCTTTCATCACAATCACAGTTTCCACCCACACAGGCAAACATCAGTCGAAACACCCTGTTTCTACATTGTGCTGATTAAGCTTAGGTATGAAAATTAGAGGTTTTGTGATTTTATATATATATATATATATATATATATATATATATATATATATATATATATAAGTCCAAGCTTTTATACATTGTGTTTGAAGCATTCCTATGAAAATTCATACTTTTAATTTCAGCCCTCATTTGTCCAATTGAATGCACGGTGTCATTTATTCTGGCTGGAAATGATATTAATTCTGCTAAGGTTTGTAGGTTAATAATTTCTACTTGCATAATGAAACATAACTTTTTTCTACATTATCATTTTTTTTTTCATCTTTATTTACTAAGGTGAGGCAATTGAATGCTGGTTCTCTCTTAAAATCCCAACTTTGGAAGAACAAGCGATAAAAGCAAATACTACAAACATAAATTATAAGGACAGAGAGAAAATCAAAAAGCACCATGTCTATACAATATGTCCAAATGAGAAGAAGGTGCATGGATCATTTGCAGTTAATTACTAATAATTTAGTAATACTACTAAATTAATACTCTTAATATAAATGTTACCCTTACTTCCTCATATGTCCTTCATATATATTCTGTATACTGAACACTGTGATCTTAGCTTTCTTTGTTGATACTGTATATGGCTTTTGGACAAGGTCAAAATGCATTTTTAACAATAGACTGACTGATTTTAAACTAATTCACTGTCAGATCAGCACATCACACAAATTGCTTAACTTCATTGCCCGTTATTTTGACAAGGAGCTAAGTGCTTCATTTGACACATTGAATTTGAGAATAACTTCAAACTGTGTGGTGGGTCCATTTGAGAATATCTGATTATCCTTTGGCGATCCAAAACCTCGATTGTTATTATGCTGATGAAAAGTTTTCACTGTGTTTGAATCAGTATAAAAGCCAGTGAATTCATCAGACCTGAAATTTAGGTAATCTTTGAAGAAATGTAAAAGTGATTGTGGCTTATATGATAAGTGGTTCTCTGAAACAGGGATTTATTTCTCCAAGATTGAGCCTCCAAATGTTTCTCTCCACCTAGCTGGTTGATGTATTTTGATATATTTTCAACCCACACATTTATGGTTTCACACAACATTGATTAAGAATGCTGCACCGGCTGATTGATCTAATTGCATAGAGCAATTAGATCCTAAGGAGTGTTGTTGATTAAAATGCACCTATCTACAATTCATACGACTAACTTATATTGATTGAAAAAAAGAAAAAAAAAAACATCATTTATTTTCACACTGTATAACTGATATACAATGTAAAAATATACAGCTATATACTGTATATTGTATCCCATCCAACTGTAAATATCCAGTTGGATGGGGTACAACTGTGTTCTGATTCCGTGGTTCATGTCAAGCACATGTACTGTTACTTCTCTAGAGATTCATCGATTTATAAAAACATTAAGAAAAGTTGCAGGCCATTTTTATTTTGTGTTTTTGATTATCAAAGACATCAGCAGGTCTGCATGTTGCCACTCTACAGCAATTGTTGTTGCGCTATTAGGCTGACACATTCTCCCCCCTGTCTTCAGGAACTCAGCAGCTCCTACAGAGTTGCTATGGTTCTCTCAGCTGCTGCTTTGATTAATTTCTCTTTGCCCAGCCTGTCAGTTAAGGTCAACCAGCTTGTTTTGGTAGGTCTAGTGTTGTGCCATGCTGTCTTTTTGGATGATGAACAGTTTCTTTATAAGTCAGTCCTGCTTCAGCATTCCCCAGACGTAAAGCCCCGAGCTTTCTGCTGTGCTCTTTGGTGTTCTTGTTTCTCTTTGTTCTCTTATGTTCTCTTTTACACCTCGGAGGCCTTCATAGAAGAAGATTAAATTATACACAGATGGACTCTATTTACTAGCTAGGTCACTTCTGAAGGCAACTGGTTGCACTGGATTTAATTTACAATTTTCAGAACACAAGGTGTTGAATGCAAAGTCAATGATAGTTTCTTTCTGAGTGAGTTTTCAGTATGTTATAACTGATGCAATTACAAATTTGTGAAGAAAATCTTTGAATTATTAAATGTTTGAAAGAGGCACAAGATACTATTTCAAAAATCCACTTTTTTTTTTTGCCCCAAATTTTTTCAACTACTTTTCTAGTATTGTCAAACTTCCTGGCTGTGTGGTTTCATAATATTTTTTGGTGTATGAATACTCACTCACTCTGCAGCCTGTACTTTTACAGCCTGTAGTTGGTCACAGTCAACACTCCATTGTTTTCAATATTTATACGCTGTCACCAAGCTGTTGAGAATTTTAAAAAAAGGAAAAAATCATTGCAGCATCACACGTGCTCCCTTTCTGTTTGTGTACAATTAATCACCTTCCTCAAAATGATTATTTTCTGTGACGTTTTCCGAAAACATATCGTGGAGAGAGTCTCGGAGCCAGATGGATGACAGACGTTTTGTTTACTTCTAAATACCATAAATTGCCTCATAGTTTACTGACAAAGTGCTTGACAGTTGTTCAGAAAGGTCATCACCAATCACTGATGGCCCCTTTCGAACATAATTCAGCCTTTTGTGATCTTTTCTTCGCCGAGGCACACATGGTTCACAGATTATTCTGAGCAAGTGCTCTCTGCAGGGACTGTAGCATTTGCATTTTCCGTTTAATAAAAAGCAGCACATGCTAAGTCAAGTGAGGCATAAAGATAGTTATTGAAGTAATTTTCACAAAAAACAGAATATTAATCAAAAATAGCTCTCACATCTCTTAGTTTTCTTTTAGATGTGTTGCTGCTTTTAAAAATTTGCTGTTTTTGCAACGGTTCCAAAAGCTCCCAAAAACATGTATCTTTTTTTTAGCATTTGAAATTGGCAAAACATTTACAGACATCCCTGCTGATTCACCTCCAGGATACTTTACTTCAACCAAATGAGCATATGTGTTGTGTGAGCTGTTGGCAGGTATGATATCTCCTTCACCTCCCTATAACCTTCATCCCATCATCCCTTAATACTCATTTTGTTTCTCATCAAGTACCAGGTTTTAAAGGAGCACATAATGCGGTGTGTGTGTTACTGGAGCTCATTATGCAAGGCAAGGGCATAATGTTTACAAGATGTCTGTATTTCTTCATCAATCTCTGATATAATATAATAAAGTTCAGAAAGAGGAAAATGCTTAGACTATGTGGTAGCATTGGAATGAATAAAAAAATGTAAATGAATTGAATTGATTTTGGGTTAAATTGGACTCAGAATGGGACCTGTTTGTATGATATTGGCTTATTAATAAAATCATAAAAATTGATAGTAATAGTAGATAAGATTTGTGACCGTAACTATCTGATGCATTACTAGTCGTTTAAACAGATATCATAAAAGCAAATATTAATAACAAATCTATTGTTTTTAAGTAGCACTTTTAGCAGCTGTATTGTTGACAGAATTAATATTCTTTTATTATTATATTTATTTAGTTTGATTTCAAAATGCTAACATTGCTAATTCTTGACCCAAGTTGATCCTAACTTTCTGATCCAGTGATCCAGCAAGTTAGTCTTAAGATATTTCTATAAAACATTTTTTTGTTTTATAGAATTGATTTGAGATTGAGTAATTTCTGGAGAAGGATGTGACTCAAAAGATGTGATCCATCTGATTTTATTGTTCAAAGAGTACCTCAACCTGTCTTTTTGATTTTCAAGCTTATATCTGTCTTACACTTCTCTTATGCCGACCTTTTGCTCAACGTCTGCTCCAGATAATTCTTACATTATATTTAGACTCCAGAAAAACAAAAAGTCACGGATCACTTTTGAAAGTTCATAGACAGTCAAACATAGGTAGCAGAAAATAACTGAGCTTAGGTCATGCGTGATTTCCAAATACGCACGGACAAATTGGTAATGGCCAAACGTCTGGACATTGTGATTATTGATAAGCAGCATGTGGCCATGCTGAATGATAGGAACAGCAGAAAAAAGGAACTGTGGAGAAATGCCAAGAGCTCAGGGAAGAGCTCTGGCAGATGAAGGATGCAGTTATGCTTTTATATAAGAGATATAGAAGAAACATCCTTTTACTTGTGCTAATCTAAAATTTAGAAACTCTGAGGCATGTGGATTCAGGATTCACAATGCCATATTTTATGGTTAAAATATTTCTTGGTTTAAAACAGCATCACTTTGGGAAGTGACAGTCCTCAGATGTAGCTTTGAATCAACTGCTGTGATAATAAAGTTCTTCATAAAACATCCCCTCTCTGAAGCATTACCATATTGAAACTTTAAAAAGCTTGCATTAAATTTATGCCACCACACATCAAGGAAAGACACCCTGAGGTGTATGCAGACAACAAACTTGGTGCAACCTAAAACAGCCAACAGAGAACAAATAAAATAATTTAAGGATCTAATAAACAGGTAGTGAAATGGGATCTTTGCCTGAAAGAGTTGTAAAGATGAGCGCTGTGATATGAAATATGAATATGTCCAAACTTTATAGATGTGCAATTTTAAATTTATTGATTTAATCATTTACATGTGATCATTTGGTGAGAGAGAATGTCTCTTTAAAAGTGTCACTTCATCTTGGTTGTGACATTTTCTTTGTCCCTCAGATGCTGAAGAAAGGTTACATGTTATTACCAGGGATTTATGATAGGTCAAATTTTCAAGCGCTTGCATTGTTACAGAAACACTTGCATAACAAAGCAGACCAAGCAGAATATGTAATTTACAACTATATATATATATACAAAGTAAATATATAGAACCAGGTGACCCACAATAGGTGTGACTGGTGCATGTCTCCTAGAGACACTCCTGTCTGTATTTCTCTTGTTTCTATCAGTACTGGCGATGCTTTTCAGTTACAAACCTTGCGCTCTAAGTATTTTTGAGACATTATTTTCAGAAAATGTGTGATTCATAATAGTGTACATAAAGCTTTTTGGGGGAAAATGATGTCTGCTTTGGAACTTTAACTGCTGGAAACATTATTATATTACTTATTTTGTCTGATTTAGTAGTTTGATATGCAGCCAGCAGAAGTCTCTCCCTTCTTCTAAGAGAACTGCACAATGTGGGAGGACCCAGGTTTGAATGCTGGCTGCATAGTCTTTCAGTTTTTCTGAAGGGAGCTCTTTATTCTTTTAGATCATTAGACTTTACAAAATGAGGTATTTAACAAAAGGGTCTCAGGAAACTTTTCAAAGTCACCATCACCTTTTGTTTCCTGCAGCAATTCTGAGTTCAGTGGTCTTCTACCATCATCCACTTTACTAAAAGTTTAAAATGTTACTTTGCTTCAAACCAGCTGCTTCAAAAGACTGGATTACCTTCAAATCTGTGTCATCACAAGCAGGAGTGTTTTAGTTGACCATCAGTTTTTATTCTGTCAAACATGCTGGAAAGTGAAGAATTGTAATGGAAGAAAGAACGAAAGTGAATTTTTATTATCTAAAAAATTTGATCCCTCCATTAAGCCATCTGTTCCATTTATATAAATCACTAGATAGGGCAGCGCCTATTAGCAACTATAGCTAATGATATGCAACTGCAGGTGCCATTACTGTGCTTTCAGTCATATCGACAAAACCATGCTGTTCCAATGAAGAATGAGCATGCATCTGTCACAAAAATGAACAAAGCTTCCTTATTTCTTATCCAATATCTACAAAATATGGCTGAGAAATGTGTCAAGGCTTTTATGTGGGAAATATGTATCATACCTAATTGAAAATCTATGAGCTGTTTGGTTTCTGCGTAGAGAAAGCAGAAACCAACTGACAGTCTCTGTCTGTCAAAATGCAAACGAGGAAAGAGGAAATATCTCTGATATCAGACAATTTATTCAATTTTACACAACTGCTGCTGAAACTGCTACATTTCACCGTATTTGATGAATGTTACGAATATTGTGCTTTCTTCAAATGAATGAGGCAATTTGTCAAATTTATTATTGCTTATTGAACATTTATTAGCCCCAAACCGCTGTGCTAGAATGCATTTCTTTGTCAAGTTGGACCAAAAAGTTCAGAAGAAATGCACATTCTGATATGAACTACCATACATTCACATAAAGTGTGAACAATATGTGGTAGAGAAAGAGGATATATACCATAAATTTCCTCTTTGCAGATTTATGATCAGTGATCGATATGAGCTTGAATGTATTGCAATGAGTTGCACTCCAGCTAAATTTTACAATGTAAAACCAAAATCTTACAAAAAACGTAGGACTGGAACTCTTACCATCCGGAGCCCCACACTTGACAGGCCATATCAATATTAAAATAAATTGGAGTTATTGATAAACAGTATGCTATCAAGAGGAGAAACTCTGCATAGCTGGGTAATTATAAGCATAACAAAGGTGTAAATTTTCTGCTCAAAGCAATTAGTCTGCACCTCTTTCAGCTGTCACCTTCTCTGGAATTCTAAACACATGCTACACAGAGACTGACTTCATTTGTAGTATTCATTAGACCTCCCCGAAGCACACACAGCCACACACATTGCACCATTGTAAGCTGTCTTAAAGAAAGATGAGAATTTATTCCTGCAGATTTGGTGCAAACTCTCCCAGCCTTCATAAACCCAGGTCTCTGACCAGCTTGCTCATGCTAATAGCTCATTATGTACACTGAGCTAACAAGCGCATTTCCTTCTTGGGATAATGACCATTTTCCGCTCATTACTTTTGTGATTTTTTTTTTTTTTTTTTTTTTTTTTTTTTTTAGTTCTAGGCACAAAATCAGCTCTTTACGTTGGTCCCCTTGTAAACTCTCATTTTGGGTCATTTTCTTCCCCTCACCTTTCTGAGAATCTCTCTAATGACATCACTCTGAAATTCCTGCTAATGCATCTCTGTGTGCTGAAGTTTTAATGTGGAAACAGCCACTGTGCTCCATCTCTGCATTAAGGGCAAGGGAAGGGATGCCTAAAAGAAAGCAATAATGCATTAATGGAAGCAAATGGACACACAAATAAAAATCTGATGTTTTTTGTTGCTTTTTTTTTAATGTGAACTTCTATTCAACCCCTCTGATTCTGTGGTGAATTAGTACTAATTTGTCACAATTATAGCTGTAGGCCTTTTGAGAATGTTTCTGTCAGGTTTGCTCATTTTTGGCCTGCTTCTTTGCAAGGTAGTTCCAGCCAAGTCAGACTGGAAAAAAAACATGTGTGCACAGAAAAAAATAAAAATAAGTTCCCTGTTCATACAAAAAACAAACACAATTTAAAAAAAAAACACACTGCATGATGGCGCCACCACCATGTATCGCAGTGGGGATTGAGGGTTCATAGAATCAATCTTTCACCAAACATGTTATTTTGTTGACATGAGCAAATTATTTTATTCATTTATATATTTTCTTGTCATTTTCTTTCAACATTTTTGTTTTCTTTTTGCTTCTCTTCTATAAAGGCTGGATTGGTTCTGGGTTAACTTGGTGTTAACCTAATTTGTAATCTAAGAGTTTATGGTTACAAATGTGGCAAATTATGTAAAAGTCCCTTTGCAAGTTCTTGATTTCTGCTTTATATTCTTTTGAGAAACTGTACCCTAATAGATCAAATTGCCAACAATGTTTTCTCTTTCAATCTCTACCTTAAAGGATCATCCTATTTTTTCAAGGGAAAGGAGTACTGGCGAGTGCCGGGCAGCGACATGGAGGCAGAGGCAGGATACCCCCGTCTGATTGCGAAGGACTGGCTGCTCTGCACCGAGATGCAGTCGGACTCTCCGGACACAGAAGCCAAAAGCACGGAGACAAGGGTCAACGTGCACCGGCCCCCAGACCATGCAGAGAATGGCTACGAGGTGTGCTCCTGCACCTCTGACACCGCCTCGCCTTTGGGCGTCCACTTAACCCCATCTCCAGTTTGGCTGCTGCTGCCTTTTTGGACGCTCTTACTAACCTTCTGCAATGAACTGCTATGATGCTGCAGCGTGGGGTTAAGTGCTTGTGTTGACTGCAAGGGAGAGACTAATTAGCGGATGCTCTGCAAGAAGGACGGAAAAAAAACTGGAAGAATTTGATCATATAAATACGGTTTATTTTGTTTGTTTTGTTCTCTTTATTTCTTTTTTTTTGGGAGTTATTTATTTCACATGCCATCTTATGGTCACTTAAAGAGCTTTGCAGTAGCCGTTCTATGAACAATTATCAGTTAATATCCTCCGACAGTGACAGTATTAGATGTTTCGTAAGCTGAGTTGCACAGAAATACAAGTTAACTTCACTTTCCAAATGGCCTCATTAATACTGAGAGGGCTAAGAAGAGGGGAATGTTCAGATATAAGTGGTTATATCATTACAGATTTAATGGCGACTTACTTTGAGGTATTCAGTTTTATGAATAAGTGGTTGTGGCTCAACCTGCTGGAGTTTGATAGCATTCACATCAACACTGACAGAGATTTGGAAATTACAGCTTCTTACTGACAAAAAAGTTGAATCTTTTATAAAATGGGATTTAAAGCAATTTTATTTATCAGAGCATATTGCTGTAATTCTGATACTACAAATTTTTGCTTATTGGTGATTTGTTTAGTTAGTTAAAATGCAGCTCAAATTATAAAAATGTAGAAATATGAAAATATCACTCATTCACAATGCTGATTAATGTTCAAAGACACATAGATCGTCTTTACACATTGGTCAGTTACTGGTATGGAGGGCTTAAAAAGTTATGGGTTCAAAACCAATTATCTATCTTTCTAATGCTGCATTATGACTTTTTTTTTTTTACATATGTGTTTTTTGCAGCAATACGAGGCATAGGATGACGCAATGCTGGCCCTTCCCCACTTGTTGTTTGCACTTCTCGTCAGCTGGCTAAATGAAAACATCTACACTTTCCCTTTGGTTTAAAAAAGAAAAAAGAAGAAAAAAACAGATTGTTGTTGTCAGTAAATGTTCCCTGATCTGCAGTGGGAATATATGAGTTTGATTTTTTTTAGCCGAAATAAGAGATTCTTCATATCAATTTGCTTCACCAGCCAATTTTAAGACTGTTGGAATAATTTTCGAACAACTACAAGACCTAGGAAGCACGCTTAAAAAAAACATTTTTGATCCTGCTTCACAACAGGTGCAAAATCTATAAATTCACTCCATTGTTGGTGGAGCTACAACAGACTGATATGTCCCAAGGTATTTGTTGTTTTGATACTACCAGCAGGATTAACCAACTAAAATCTGCATATGTACAGTTCCATTTAAAAAAACAGCACTAAACATAAAAGTATTTCGTAAAATTGTATTCTGTTATGTATGCAGATTTCCACAACAATAATCTTATCACTCTATAAGTGGTAAAAGAAACAATAATGCAGGCCTTCTTTGGTTCTCATATTCCACCACTCTGAGAATGTAGTTCCTTATTTTAAAATAAAAATGAGCTTTTGTTGACAATAACGACACACAACCTCTCAATCTACCAAATGAAGCCTTAAAATTAAAGTTTTTTTTTTCCATTTGATCGAATGAAGCTGTCGGCTTATCCCTGAGGTTAGCTGTAGCCTGGAATCGAGGGTGATGCCAGGAGGTGAGTTGCCTTTTTTAATGAAATCATTTCTCTTTGAAGCCTTTTGAAGTGTGAACTAGATAAGTTTTGATCAGTGTATGCCATATTGATGACTTTAAAGTTTTATAAGATGTTAAAGAAGCAGAATGCAGCTGTTCCACATGCAAACACCATGAGTGTTACCCACTAGATGTCCTCTATAGGCTGAAGTTGTCAACGCCACCCAGCATATCTGTTAAACAACTGTAAATCTGAGCTAATTTATTACCAACACAAAAATGAACAAAACGCCAACAAAAGCTGTAATATTCTGTGCAAATATCTTGAATCCAAAATCAAAATGACTATAAATAAATCCTATAGATAATGTTACCGTACTTGTAATTCTAAACTTGTTCCATTATTTTGACAGCAGCAGGAATGATTGTAGCTTCTGTGCTTCAAATAAATCTACCTTAGCTGTAATTTCTAAAATGTTTGATCAAGTTGAAAGTGAATACTCTCAGATGAAAGCTAGATTTGTTCTGTACAGTCATACCAAGCTTCATGGACAGTATCTTGGAAAAGTATTCATTTAACAAAGTGTTTCATAACTTTCATTGGGATTTTCTGTGACAGACCAACACCAGTAGTGCATAATTGGAGAATAATTTTCTTTCTGCTAAAAGAAATGTGAACACCAGTTTTCATTGCCACATTTTTGTCTTTTTTAATATAGGAGTAATCTTTGATCTAAAGTATCTATCATAGCAAAAGCTGCACACTTATATTTTTTTCTGATTTATGGGTAAGCTCTGCCGCAAACCCAACTATTTTTCATTCTCTTAACAGTTTTATTTTAAGAATTGGGTTTTGTATAGCTCAATATGTCTTCTTTTCACCTCAGACCAGCTTCCCTGTCCCACAGCATGATATGCCACCCACCTTTTTCAAAAATGGGGATGGTGTTTTCCAAATGATGTGCAGCGTTTGTTTTCCACCCCACACCGAGTTTTGAGTGATGCCCTAAAAGCTTAAATTTGGTCTTGCACGCCTTGTCTTCTTCATTGCTTGTTGGCCCCTGCAAACAGGATGTCCTATTTCTTTCTTTCAACCATGACTTTCTTCTTGCCACTCTTCTGTAAGGGCTAGATTTGTTGGGTGCACGCCTTTTGTCAAAAGCCAAGGTTTCTTCCCATCCTTTACATGCCCTGCGTGTCAGATATGTTTGAAAATATGCCATTTTCGATTATCAAAATTAAGCAGGGCTAAGATGCTCAAGGTTCAGCATTCTCAAATGTACTGATTCCTGAAAGCAAATAAGTTTTATTCCGGGGCATCACAGTAAAGGGTACCGCGTTCATTGCACTCCACATTCTTCAGATTTGTATTTGCAGAATAATTTTGGAAGCCATGGGTCATTTTCCTTCCTATTCTCTGCTTTTCACTAGTTTACGTTGATCTATCACATAAAAACTCAATGAAATACATTTAAACTTTGTGGTAGCGTAAAAAAGTCCAAGGGGTATGACTATTTTTCTAAGACACTGAATAAGCCGGGTTGAGATTCAGATCAGCTGATCCCACAGGAAGAGAGAGGATCCCTATTAATCTGAATATAGACTCCCACCAGGGGGAAAAGCAACATCCTGAGGTGTCATCATTCGACAGGTGACTGACACTGCAGCGCCCGTCTGTGCAGGCAGGTGTAATCTACCTTGGGATGTATTGCAGATAGATGGTTAGGTTTACAGCTCAATGGCTCTGTGGGAGCTTGACGTGTTGAAGACACATGAGTGGCGTGCTGGTTTTCAACAGGTACACGCACAGTCAAGAGGAAGACAAGGAAACATGGGATGTGGGGAGGAAGATGACAAATGAATGTCGGACAGAACATTCAAAACCAAGATTCCTGTTGTTGCTTATTGACGTCTTCCTTGCTTTCTATCCGTTTCCCCCATCACACAGGTGGTACCTCCCCTGTTCAGGTTCCTCACCTTAAGCACTCCCTGCCATAACCAGAGGTAGTATTGGTTTGCTGTATTTTTTTGTATTAAGTATGAATATATTGTGAGCCATTGCTTTAATAGATAACAGTTCAAAGAGCATTTCAGACACAAGCTTAAGTTCTGTTTGATGACATCTAACGTAGACCTCACAAAGGCAGCAGATTTGATATTGTTGCTGATATATTTACCTACAAGTTTAAATACAGACAGATATATTTGAGTCACAATGTTCCATGGTTCCTGCAAACCAAGTGGACTGTGTATATTTCAAGGTGTGTTTTCTAATGTAAAATATTTTTGTAGAAAAAAAAACAAAATAAAGATTCTGAATGGTTTTCCTGGCTAATCATGGTTGCATGGGTGCAGTAAGAGAAATTACTTTGAGTACTCTGTCTTGTGGCTGAGTGTGTAATTATTTTGTGCCACTGAAAATCAACCCATGCTTGATGACAGATGAAGGTAACGGAGCAGATTGCAGACACCAACTGGGAGTGGATGTCTATCTCTGGTCTTCTTAAGAATGTTTTTTCTTAAGAAGACCACACACTCATAATATTCATGAATTATGAGTGTTTGTGAATATTGCAAATTGTGTTATGATAATCCCCCCACAAAATTACTCTTTTGCAGTAATTTTTGTTCTTTGACACTTATGTTGACTCTCAGGTGAAAACGCTGTGTAGTTTCTGAAGATGTGCATGAATTGAAGAAGGCGACTCACTAAAGACCCTTTATGAACTTTTGGGGAAGTCACAGTGGCAATTTTGAGAATTTATGTTAAGAAAATATCAGCTTTTAGGCAATATTTATCTTGCTCACAATTAGGAGGATGTATCTCTATTTTCAGATTTCTTTTTTCTTGTTTGAGATTCTTTTTCCAAGTATATGATACCAAAAGATCTATATTATCTGAACAAGGTTAAGAGCCATCATGTCAGATTCACTTACAATAACTTTTTTGCAAAATTCAGATCATTGGTTATAACAACAGTAAAGTATCTTAACCACAACCATTCATCGATCTGCAAGTTCATCAGTTAACTTCCCCATCCAACCATCCATCCATCTATGTTAAGATTACATTTTATCTATAATAACATTCTTAAGTAACTCTAAGTTTGTAACTTTGACAGTATGTGAACAAAACTACCCATGTAACATTATAAATGAATCCATTGGTATTCTCCCCTCATGCTCCTTTTGACACAACTTACAGGCCACGGTGTGACAGCACTGAGAGCATTTTTCCTTCCTCTTGACACTCTTGAGTGGTGTTAATTAACTGGTGTGGCCACCAGACGAGCACAAAACTCCCTGGAGCAAAAATGATACCAGGTCAGTCCTTATCACTTTGTCCAGCTGATCCTGTTTGAGCCGGATGCTAAGCGATCGAGTCAGCAGTATGTGCCATATAGGTATTTGAATGTTTGTTTCTATTATCAAATTAATAGAATATATTTTTTAAAAAGTTCAAGAGGTATGAATATTTTATTGAGATTCATATGTCAAACATCAAGGTGGCATTAATTCATATAAACAATTTCATTTTTATAATACTTAACTAATCACACCCAGGATCCACCTGAGGCGTCTGTACTATGGCTTCTTCTGGCTCTTCTGGTCAGAGTGCAGCTATTTCAGATGTAATGTTTTATCTCTGCTCTCTGCACTCTGGAAACAATTACTGAACAGCGCAAACAATAACTTTTTAAACTTCAGGTCTTCCACATTGTTGTGTCTCAAACCCCTCTTAAAATATATTTCATTTTACTTATCAGTTCTCCACAATGGAAAAGAAAAAATGACTTCTGAGTGTGTTGGAAATTTATAGGAAGTGAAAAACTGAAATATAGCATTCAAAGAGCTTACATATAATTCAAAATCACATTTTCCCTCAAGGGTAGCCCCAAGTCTTTAGGGAATGAAGTTGACAGCGTCCCCAGAGAGGTTTTGCCTGCTCCACCTAAATATTCAGGGAGGATTTACTGCAATTTCATGTCCATATAAATTACACTGAAATAAAATTCACTCTGTGCCACAGGGAGTGCAAATAAAACAAAATATAATAACATTGAACAATGCAATTTGAGGACAGCAACTGAATTGGATGGGATGTCAGAGTGCAGCTATTTCAACAATACATTTTCCATGGACAATATGACTCACTGCCAAGGTCATCTTTGTATCTGGGGCAGCACAAGAATCAGAACCACAGGCCATGAAAACTAGATGTTGTATAAAATCTTCAAAAATAATTTGCCATTGAATTATATTAGAAGTCAGATTTGAGCCTTTTTATGATTACTTATCCTCAAGATTTATGGTAACAAATTCAAAAACACATAACTGATTGAATGAGTGACTTCCTGAATTGGATAGTTCATGCAGGGGTACACACACATCCTGATGGAAACAATACATAGCTCTTTATTGGATGAAAAATCTTCATTGCCAATGTTAGACATTTCAACCTCTTTCACTTCAGACACCTGTGATTCTTATCATTTCAAATGTTGCTGCCTTTCACTGCACATTTTGTACTGATCATGCATCAGTTCATGGTCAGTACAAGGGGATGTTTCTGACTTTCACAACCAAAACTTTAAAGCTTCCAATTTTCGATATCATAAGTGTAGTCTGCTGTTAGAAAAAATAGTCATTTGATTTAATCACAAATACAATACTTAAATACAATGTGGTGTAAGTACTTGGTTAGGATATGGTTAGGAGTGAAACAGGTAGGTACCAAAGAGGTGTGATGGTCACGTCAATTGGTTTCAAATGGTTTATTTATCGATGTGAAAAGGAATTAGGAGGTGACAATATAGCAAAACCGAATTGGGAACAGGCAAAGCAGAAAACTGTCCCAAAGTTTCCCAAAGATCATGAATACTGTCAAAAAGGGTTTTCTAAAAGAAAAAAAAAGAAAAAAAAAAACTCTTTGACTTGGCTTTCAGTCCCACAGGACCAGTTTTATAGCAAAACATAAGATTTGTCAAATGTAAAAGAACATTTACTGAATATGAATGAGATTCACTTTTGTCAAGATGTGGTTCATTGGAACTTTTCACATAATGTATTCACAAAACCAATGTCTGTCTCATGGCAAACAGATCCTACTCCCAAACTTTCAGTGACATGGTGAAGTAAAAGAAAAATTGATACAGTATGGGAAGAAAAAAATTGACCTACGGACTGTCTATCTGAGTGTCACACTCCACCATGGAGATGAGATGCTGCCAGAAAGCTTAGCTTGGCTTCTTCTTAAGTCATGCTTGGTGTACCATTGAATCTGCAGACTTGTCGAGCTCCAGCAGTTCTCCGCTGTCACATTCCACGAAAGGTCGTACTGGATTTAACTTCTGCCTACACACAAGCCGAGGAATATACTAGGACTTAGCCCAGAGTTTGAGTAGAGGTTTCACCTCCACTGTAGATGTAGGGATGGAGTTCCAGGGATATATGTGAGATCACTCACTTTAATGAAGCAAGTGTGCAAAGTTTTTTTTTTGTTTGTTTGTTTTTTAATAAAAAGGCATGGATCGAGGCTTTTCCTGCAGGACAAAGTAGCATTTTTAAACAGATAATGAGCAGTTGGAACGCCTCTGACCATTTTAATCTAACTTAGAGAAAATGGGCGCAAAGTCAAAAGGGACCAATTTCAGTGAGTCACCGTACACAACACTACCATCCTGAAATTAGTCCAGCTAAACAGAATGCAGCCTTTATTTGTCAGATGCACTGGTGCTCGTCCAGCATTAAATTGCCTAAAATGGGGGGGGAATCCAACAAAGATGTTTTCACCTGAATCTGGAGCTACTTATCACCATGTAAAAGCTTAAAATCCAGTTTGTGAATACAGAATGCCTCCCTCATGTATAATTCTCCCCTGTTTGTAGTAGAGAGTATTGAATTTCCTTGAGATTCTCAGTTTAATCATCTGCCATGACCTATTGGCAGGAATTACAAGGTTAAGCGTCGCGGCGCGTTGCGCAGATAAAAGTGTTATCCTGATATGTCTTGTACGTGCATTGCAATGCAGAGTTGAAGAGGCGGTGACCTTCTTGGCCACATTACTAGCCATCTGTCTGAAGGAAAAGCTGAGGAGATGAGTAAGGCACGGTGCCACAAAACCCAACAATGGTTACTCAAAGAGAAGATTGCAGGAGGCAGTCACCCTTTGGCAAGCAAAGAAGGCAATAAAGCTTATCATAAACAGCTTATAATTCACAAGATGGACAGCTGGAGGGATTTTACAAGTAGAAAAGAGAGTAGTGAACAGATTAAAGTTAGCAGGTGATACTATATTTCATGACACTTATAATTGGAAGAGTTTAAGATGCAGTTTGTCTTGTATGCAAGAAAAAAAATTAAAAATCCTGCAAGGATGAAAAATGAACTCCAATATTTTGTTGCATGGATTTACTTATCAATACATAATTGAAAATAATATATATTCTACTCTAAAAATTATCAGTGCATGACTTATTAAACCATATCAGTATTTCTTTAGCAAAGACTTTGTGAACATTTAGGGGAAAAAAACTACAACTAAAGATTAGATATCTTGTAAAGCCTCTTTCAGCAGATGTTAAGTTTGTTTAGAGTATGATTTTATGATTCACATGAGGTAACCTACAGAAAGAGAAAAATAGGAGCTACTAAACAATTTCAAAGACAGGAAGTCAACAGGCATCTTCCATATTGACCTTTTGCACTCAAAATTAAAAAAACTTTAAATCTTAAGAAGCATTGTCTTAAATTAGAAAACATTCCAAGTTTAAACTCAAACACAAATAAAAGAGAAATCTTGTGATTTCAATAGGCCTTTGCCAGCGCTTTGCTGCTAGGGCCTAAGAAAAAAAAAAAAAATAGACATTTATGGCCAGGAGGTGGCGCCGTTGAAGGAAGCTGGAGCTGATGCTAACTGCTAGTCCAAGAAAAGCTAAGAGCAAAGGAAACTTTTACTGTCTTAAGATAAATTCAGCTTCATAAACATCCTGTGTGTGCAATTTATAAATAATTAAAGTATCATCACATTCAACAGTTGACTATTTGCAAAAGCAATGCTGGAAATAGAGTCAGTTTTTTTAATCTTCCTGTGTGAAATGTGCTCTTTTGCTCGCTCAGTAAATGTCTCATACAAAAGCAGAGCAGCATAAAAGGTCAAAACAGCACAGTTGTTTCAGTGAATGGGCAATTAACAATGTTTAAGACAAGATAGTAACTGCTTATAAGTTTTTAATGAAAATCCCAAACTACCTCTGAAACATGTCAAGTGAATGCTGTCACATGCAAACATGGTTGAGTCATTCACTAAGGTTGCCCAGGTATAGCAGCAGAATAAGCCCACATCATCATTCTTACACTACCATGTTTTCCAGCTACGATTTTTGTGTTGATGTTAGGTGATCAGTTTTCATCAAAAGTGGTAGTTCAGTCGTCGTATTCAAATCTGTGTGTTATTTTGGAAGGAAATATTTGCCTTGCACAGTCCATCAAAATAAGCCATACCTCACTAGATCCGTGTTTTTCAGCCAAGGACTGGACACTACTGTGAGATGCAGTGCTCAGATGTCTTTGCATTTGCATTCAGGCTTGCACAGCCTGGCTTACAGGTGAAATCACAGAGAATTTCACAGAAGTAAAGATTGTCTTTGGTGTTTAAAACTTGTAAACAGGACAAGGCCCATGTGACAGTTTTATTCCCTGAAACTTTACTGATAGAAAATGTTTGACTTTGCTATCAAGAGGTTTAAAGAAAAGGTGATAGTGTCTGTAGGAGCTGTGATTTTTCTTGTTTTTTTACAGGCATGATTGCTGTGAGTGAATGTAAATATTTCATTCACACACAAAATCAACAAGACCCACCTTCAGAATCTGTATGCAGTGTGCTCGTACTTTGGGACCCATCTGGCTAGGAATTTCCATTTCTACCAAGAGCGAACACCTGAAGGCTCTTCCGCTGACTGACACAAACAGAAAGTTGAAGTAGGCCAGGAAGAACCAATCAATCATACTGTTGGAGCCACAGAGCGACAAAAATAGTCAACACCAAAGCGAACTCCTGCAGAGTTAGACACCTGTAAGGTTGTGTGGTGTGTATCCTTCTGCAGAAACACCAACTGTCCTGCTCAGGCAAAAACTGTCTGGCGTGTTAAATCAAGCACAGGACTAAAAGCAGAATTTTCATTTGTTTACTATTTTGTAAATCTGTCATTGTCTTTGCCAGGCTGCATCTTGTCAGAGTCACATTCTTGCAGCTGTTTTTAACTGAGATTAATCAATGTGACTGCAGGGATTGTATGTAATAATAGTAGATATAAATCCAATAATGTAGTTTTTTTTATAGTTTAGTCTTACATTTTCTTTGCTTATGTTGCTTATAATTTTATATTGTTAATGTAATATTATTTTGATTTGTATAGGAAAAGTAAGAAACAAACAAACAGAAAAATAGCAAGGAAGTATCGAGCTGAATTTAAATGTTCACTATTTCTGGGATTTTCCCAGACTAAGGCACGCAACAGTAAAAATGTTGAACTGAACTGGTTTACATTACATTACTGCCCTCTTCTGGTAGTCATATGGAACCTTTTGTAAACATTCATCAGCTGACTCATGCATATTGATGCTGAATGCATTGTTGCATATAATTTGTAATTGTGCATAAATATGGTTCACTGAGGGTAAGTCCATGTTTTTCCTTTGAGCAGTATGTTTTCTTAGTGTCTAAAGGTGCAGTAAATAGAGTAATATAAAAACAAACCAGAGATTCTGTGAGGTTGTGATACTTACAAGTCCAAAACACATGCAATGATAAAAATTTGTTAACTAAAAAAAAAAAAAAAAAAAATATATATATATATATATATATATATATATATATATATATATATATATATATATATATATATATATATATATATATATATATATATATATATATGTTGTGTAGACTAATTTGGTACACTATGTAGTTTGAGTCAAGAACTGCAAGTCACACAAGTTTCTACATTATGGTTTTCACCCAGCATGTTCTGGGTTAGGTTTTCTTTCTTCTGTGCATTTTTCCAAAATCTTTCAACAACCAAATAACAGCAGCCTCAACTATTGGTTGAGTGTATAATTATTAGTTTCTCTTCAATGTCCATATTTTCCCAAATAAGTATACTCTAAGCAGTGGTTGCTTGTCAATGACTCAACGTCACAGAGTCATTTGCTCAGAGTGATTGCCTATTCAGACAGAAGCTCTATTTTAAGTCTTGAGATGTTATTTAAGAATTTGCAGATGAAGTACTTTCCATTTGATGTAATCTGTTTTGCTAAGTGCACCAGTTCCTCCTGCACAAAACTCCCTCACAACATAAGGCCGCCATTGTACTTCGCAGTTGGAAAGACAGTCTCAGACTTGCTTCTGCCTTTTTTTTCTTTCACATCTAAAGATGGTCATCATGAGCCAACAAGACGTTTCAATATTCAAAATGGTGAATGCAGAACCTTCATTCATCAGGAAAGTGTACCTACCAAAGTTGTGTAGGGATATAGTTTTCATCCTGATATCTTGGTTTAATTTTCATATTTTTATTAACTGAAAGTCAAAATCATCAAAATGAACAGAAATGAAGGACAGCAATGTGCATAACGAGCTTATTAGTTACAGAAACGAAATCAATGTTTTGATGGCATTGTAATAATGTATCCTTATTTCTGAGTTGTTTGCCTTTTTATATATTCCAGAAATCTCGCGTGTTTTGACTTCAAGTATTTTATCGGAAACATCTGTGTTGTAATAACAATTTCCCTAAGTGGATTTTATCGTACACTTCGACCTGTCGTTTTCGCTTTATGGCTGCTTCGAAGGAAAACCAAGTGACGTCAAACCTACAGCTGTAATTGAGATGCGCATGCGCATTTGCCACCGAAAGCAGAGTCTGCTTTGTTGTGAGCGTCGATGCTGTGACTTTCAGCGAAGTCAGCTGCTATTGTGCAAGGCATTGCGAGGACTTTTTTTTTCATCGCACTCACTGGACATTAAATGCTGTCAACTTGTTTTCAGCTCAGTTTGACGTCTTTTCGCCGGGTGGAAATCTCAGGCGACAGAAGTCTGGACCTCCTGTATATAAACAAAACGCAGCAAGCTGCTTCTTAAGGTGGCACAGCTCTAAAGGGGCTACAGCCGTCGGCTTCCAGTTTGTCAAGTTAGCTAACTTCGTGTTAGTCGCTTTGCCCGTGATGGAAATAAACGTGCAGCTCTGCTAGGAGTTAAAACTCCCTACAGGGAACCGTGCGAACATGAGAGAAGAGGACAATTTGCTGTTGGGAAGCCAGTCGATGGCAAGCGAAAGAGGGGGTGAACGTTCCTGCAGCAGCCCCCACTTGACTCGGGAGAAAAGACTGTCCAACGCGGAGGGCGACCTGAGGCTCCCTGGCTATTGGTCCAGGTCTTAGTTGGAGAAATTCGGACTTTCGATATGGAGACGGTGGGGAAATTTGAGTTCAGTCGGAAGGACCTGATAGGACATGGCGCATTTGCTGTTGTTTTCAAAGGCAGACATCAGGAGGTGATTTGTTCTTTTACACTTACAATGTAACAATTATTAATGACTAATATAGGATTTCCAAATGCTTTTGATGCATCGTTGAGGAATTATCCTCATTTTCTGGTCATTTAGGACGTTTGTTATTACTGTACGGCCTTAAGGGGCCTGGTCTAAAAGACAGGATATTCCCTGAAAACCACAAAGCTATCACATAAAACGCTTAAATAATCTTCGCAATTCTTGCAAAAATGTTTAAAGAAGGCACATATGATTGCTTTGTGGCTTTTTCTGTTTTTGTCGGCATAGAAATGTGCAGATGTTGCTCGTCGGCTTTGCAAATTGAAATATAGGCCAGTAGACTCGTATTGTTTCCTATGAAAGCTGTATATACTAAGGCCAGTGATAGACATGTTGAAACACGTAACACAAATGCGTGTCAATTATTATTATAATACAAACAATGTGTCAAGTCGAATAAACTTGAAGGTGGCTAAATAATAACACAATGTAACTAAAACAAAAAATGCATGTTAGACGTCATATTCCTATGTTTTAGTTTTAAATATCAAATTGTAACTTAAATGCATAATGTTGGCAAATTTAGTTTGCAACATATATTGGATGAAAATCTACATTATTTTTTGAGAAGAGTGGAAAACTTTTCACCGTTTGTGCCCTTCACCCGGAAGGTGATTTCTGTGAAATGTGTTTCCTTCTAGAAACTTGACTGGGAGGTGGCAGTAAAATGCATAAACAAGAAGAACTTGGCCAAATCTCAGACGCTGCTGGGGAAGGAGATCAAAATACTGAAGGTGAGCCAGAGTTATTGGGATTGTTCCAAGAAAATACATGTGGAAACTTAGCAATACCTAATTGATCAACAATCCATATTTTTTTGCAATAAATTATCAGCATATTTCCACATTTTGCAACATGGTGGTGGTATCATTATTCTGTGGGGATTATTTTCTTCGGCATTGATGGGGAAACTGCTCATAGTTCTAAATACAGAGCAAACATGGAGGAAAACCTTCTTGGAGAATGAGTATACATGTTTTGCCAGGGCTACAGTGGAACATGTAGATTAAAGCATAGTCTGTGTATTAGAATAGTCCAGTCAATGTCCACACCAAAATTCAAGGACTCTGTGGGAAGGCTCGATCACAGACACTGTCTCATCTCAAGTGGGTAAGCTATTTTGGAAAGAACAATGTCTGGCATGTGCAAAGCTGATAGAGAGCAAATAAATTCATCTATCTATTTCCATTTTTACAGTTATACCCAATTTATGTGTTTGATCTGTTACATAAAATGCAAATAAAATACTTAAAACTTGGTTGTTGCAAAATGTCATACTTTATGGCACTCTGTTTCTGTGAAAAGTCAAGGCTACAACCTAAAGTCAATGTTTATTTTCTGACATTTCTACAGGAACTGAAACATGAGAACATTGTTGCATTACTGGACTTTCAGGTATGTATATATGTATTTATTTAGGGCTGCAGTGTGCTAAATAGAAATTTGGTGTTTCTGTTTTATTAGAAATACCAATACATCACATTCGTTTATGTAGCATTTCCCTTGGTCTATAATTGGAAAATGAAGATATGCTTGCATATTTGTTCAATATTTGCCTTCCCCCTTTCTCTCTTTTACTGAATATGTTTCCTTTTATTTTTACTCTGCAAAAGAGAATTTTCTTCATTTCTTTGCTGCAAAAAGTGTTGGCTATATTCTGACTGACCCTCATTCTCACTCTTCAGAAGAAAACAGATCTTAATCAGGGTGTAAACTGTCACAAAGTCAGTTTACACCCTGACTTTATGTTCCTTTGAGCACCGTCATCACTTCCTGTGTTTACATTTTGCACACAGTCATATAACCCGTTCCTGTCAGTCTTCATTGTTAAGAAGTTTTCTGGGATCTGTAGTGCAAATTTTACCCATGAATCATACGTTTTGGCATTCTCTGCAGTATTTACATCCAGACATCGGGCAGCTATACAAATTGATCTGTTAACTTGCTGTCTGGGCAGCTGTTGAGTTGTTGGGGGACAAACCTGAGTCCTAAGTGACATTAATGCTGTTGCCTGTAGCCTAGTTACCAATCTGAAGCGGCCTGTTGCAACACCTCCTGGATCGCTGTTATATCACATCCTTCACGTCTCCTCACAAAATGTTATGTGATCTCAGCAGGTGTTCCTTTTGTTTTTTAGACCTTAATTAACACCCTACCAGCTGGGAGAAAAACACAATGCTTCTTTACATCATGCTAGCCTAAGCTATGTTAATAAGACAACAGTTCACTGTGTGATGGAAGACTCATTTTACTTTGCGATAAAGCATTGCTATTTTTTTTTATTTTTAATCTCTTGAATGAGTTCAAATGTTTCAGAGTTTCATTTTTTAAATACTTAATTTGCAAATAATTCAAAAGTGTACCATGTTGTGCACGTGATTTCTGATTCCACCTCTGAGAATACCTTTGTTCTCTAAACTCTATTTTTCTACAGACACTGCTGGCTTTGCATGACTGGTTCAAATGAACCAAGCTACAGTACTGTTGAGAAAACCGTAGCCTGGTGGTGTTGTGAAGTATTCGACTGCTTTGTTAGGTCATCATCAGTAGCTTGGTAAAATAAAACTCTTTAAAAAAGTTGTCACCATTTTGCCAAGCTCAATTGAACTGCACTCCTCACTGACAGCGTGTGGCTGAGAGCGACAGGAGCTTTGTTTCTTCATAGGACAGTCTAGGACAGTCCAAGCCAGGCCTCTAAGATTACAGGTTTCTGTTGACATTCTTAGCTGGGGATTAATCTGTCCATTGATCCACACCTCAGAAGGTCACAAAGAAAATGACACCAAACAAAGAACTGCACTCCAGCAAAATTCTGGCTTTCATATTAAATCTGCTTTTTAGACTGTCCTGCAAAGAAAGATGAAAGCCAGCTCAAAATCTTAAATAATTTTAAATGTAATTCCTACAAAATACGTCCTGTTTCCTTTGGTTGCAAAAAAAAAAGATTGAGTTTTTTTTTTTTTTTTTACTGTTGCATAAAAACATTAACAACTGGAAGTTTAAGGCTTTGACATACATCTCCACATCTTTGACCTCAAGCTGGTTGGATCTCATGGTTCCTTTTTAAACAATTTCTAGGTCAGTTGAATTACAGTGCTCTACTTGGATGTCTTACAGGGCAATATTGAGCGGATTTTTACACTGTTTACCCAAAGGACAAGATGCAAAATAATTTCTTATCTGAATATAATGTTGTTTTGTGTTCTTGTGGTTCCTAGTAGATAAAGTGCCTTGCAAATCCAAGTTGGCTGGTAAAGATGGTAGAAGTAATGTCACACAGGTTTCACGGTTGGGCGGGCGGTAAAGGGAACTTGGATGTATGGATTAGGTCGAAAGAAGTGCCACAACCACTCTTTTTAGGGTAATGAAGTTTGAAAATTACGGTGGACAAACTATTGGCACTGAATCTTTTAAGAAACTAACTGAAGACTAATTACCTCAGCAGATAGCCCAACTAAATCAACGAGCTAATTTTAAGTTTGTTTGATTTTCGGTGTTAAACTGTAATAGTCAGAATTGCAAGGAGTAAAATGGTCTCCACAATGAGAAAACACTAGTAAATGAAGTGGATGTAGTTAAACTGATATTTGTATTAGTTTGATTGCAATTTGGTCCTGTTATGGGACTTTTCTCTAGACAAGAAAATATTCATTGAAAACTCTGCAGTGACAAAATTGTTTGACATTATGCTGAATGTTATCTCCCCTTTTTGTGAAACCGTTAGCAACAAGGGCAAACGTTTTATCCACCAGAGATGTTCTGTCTAAGTTCTTTGAGAAAGCCTGTGACCTCTGGCTCTCTGCTTGCTCTCTGCCAGAATCTGTTTGCTGTCCTTTTTCTCAGTGAAGCCACAAGCAGCCAGCGTTAGAAGCCCTTACTCAGCTAAACTACAGAAAACAGCCTGGCCTTTGACCGCTGCATTCAAACAGATACTGAATAGGGGTCAGAGTGAGAGACGGCTGTCATCTGTTGCTATGTGATAAGAGGGTATTTTGAAGTTAGCTGAAGTATGTTTTTTGTTTGTTTATGTTTTCCTCTAAACTGTTTCGAAAAGATTGTGACAGACTAAAGAAAAATCAAGAACATTTTTGGAGCTCTCAATTTCTCTGAACAACAATAATCATATATTTCTTTGTTTTTCATATAAACAAGTTAATTGAACTTGTTGATGTTAACATTGAAGTCTCCATTTCAAGTGTTTTATTTTTTTGGTTTGTTTGTTTTTTTTCCTGTTGTCGCTTTTGATATGACTGATATCAACTAAAACAATGAAATGTTGATCAGTTTTCCCTTTTCTTTGGACCAAATTTTTATTTCAAATGTAGATCAAATTTGGTAGCTTAGTAAAACAAATATCAAATCAATTTTTCTCTGACTGTGAAGGTTTCAGAAAGAAATCCTGAACAAAAACACCCATTGCATGAGTCCATTGGTATACAAGTGCAATTTTTTGTCAAGTCTTTGCTGCTCAAATTAATTGAACAGTGACCAATCAGATTTGTTAGTCAAGAGAGAGATATTATGTTTAGTTAAAAAAAAAAAGGATGTTCCATGTTAGATTAACTATCTAGCTTGACCAAACCCCTTTTCTGTTGGCTTTATTTATCTTAATTGTAAATGGAAAACCAAATATTCAACATTTGTGTATGTGCCATAATGTTTACAAGTTAAACATTATGTCACATAATGTTTAACTTATGTGCAATAACAAATTGGATTTGTTATTGGATATAACAAATCCAATTTGTTATATGCCAAATTGGATTTCCAAATAATTAACTGATTTTTATTATATAATTTACTGATTAAAATTGGGAAGTCCCTTATAACTTTTGACTGCCCATCAGAGCATTTTGTGTAAAAGACACAGGTGTAATTGTTAAACTCAAATGGAAAAATACCAATATGCTAAAAAAAAAAAAATTGCTTAAAATTAAATTTGAATACATATGATGATGATTAATTATCTACTATGATCAAAATACTTAACCAGGTCTAGATAAACTAGGGTTAAATTGGTCCAAAGCCAACATACTTATTATATTCACACTGTTTTGCATAACTTATTGTTTTATCAAATTGTGAGAAAAGTTCATGCATCTTCTACCAAAGATTAAATTAGCAAATATTTTATGGTTATGATAAGCTATATATGATACTCTGTAGATATTGGTTCAGTTTGTTCTCTTGCAAGCTGTTTTTCGTTACTGTTTGACTGAAATGTGTTTGTGTACTGCTCTTATCTGTTCCCTCTTTAGGAAACTGCCAGCTCAGTGTACCTGGTAATGGAGGTAAGCTTAGCTACAACATTTTGCTTTGTTTGCTTAGAACTGTGTTGTCTCAATAATCTGAGGGGAGGAGCTAAAATTAGTTAACCCCTCAGGCATGGAGTGAGGGATTTAATGGTTTCCAGTCCAAAAATTATTTGTTGCTTTTGCTGTAGTCTCATGCAACTTAACTTTATAAACAGTGACAAGATGCAGATTTATGATCACCATAAATGGCAAAAATGTTTAGCTCATCATGGTTTTAGATGCCATTATTATTATTATTATTATTATTTATTATATGTTTTGGATATTTATTTTCTTAGCTATCATTTGTGGCATCTTTTCCAACAGAACCTTCTCAAAGAAACTCGAATGTTTCTTTGAATCCGTCATCGCTCAGTTTAGTCATTTGTATACTTTCTGGTGCTCCACCTGTTCTAGTCCAGTTAAAAATTAATTATGGGAGCTTTTTATATTCTCACTGCGGATTACTTTAAGTACTCAATTCCTATTTTTCTATCTTAGTGAATAAAAGTATAATTACAACCTCACTTGCCACACTTCATTAAATTTATTTTAATACTAGGTGTGAATGTGTGATCACATTCATGGAGAATCCTTTCTATTGTCTCCACTCCATTAGCCTCTCTGAAATCTTGAGGAAGTCATTGTTTTAAGATATCTTTCAACAATCCTTTTTTTTCTTTTTGATCTCAGTATTGCAATGGCGGAGATCTCGCTGACTACTTACACTGTAAGTATAAAAACTGATCTACTGTTCGATTAGCAGCCAATGTATTTCAAAGCAAATAAGTGTTTTCTTAGTGGAAATCACTGCATCTTTCATGAAAGATAAATAGGTCACATCAATAAAATACTATGTTTGTTTCTCTGCTGCCAGGGGAAGTATATGGAATTAGATTAGATTGTTTCTATACTTGAAACAAGTATAGAATATGGGAAAATATCAATCCATCAATCATTTTGTGTTTTTTCCTGATATTGTAGCTATCGGATATAAAAAATATAGAAAAAAACATAAAAAAAACAATAATATTTTCAAGAAAATGTGTGAAACATAATTCATTTGAAATATTGTTGATTGAAGGAGAAGTTTATTACTTGGCTGAAAGTTAATGCAACCTAATGCATGCCTAAGTCCCTGCTTGTTACACGAGCTGGGAGAAGCTCTCTTAATGGTCTTAGCTGAAGAAAGCAGATTTCACATTAGGAGGTTTTTTTTCTTTTAGGTGTAACAGTTCCTTAAAATACTAAAATTCTGCTCTGTTTCAGTGACAGCTTAAGTTTTACAGGGAGAATAATTTAACGATTCAGTACCCTGTCTCTCTCTCTCTTTCTTTCTCTTTCTCTCTGTTTTTTCTTAGCTTCAAGATTTTCATCACTCTTTACTTCTTAGAAGCAGGGATCTGTTTTACATAATGCGTTATAGTGAAACTGTCTGACATTAGAGATTGGTAGCTTCTTATGGGAAAACAGAAAGCAATTATTGACATCAGCAAACACTTTTTGTTTTCCGTTTGGTCTCTGCAGCCAAAGGCACACTGAGCGAGGACACTATTCGGGTTTTCCTGCAACAAATTGCAGGGGCCATGAAAGTCCTGCAGACCAAAGGAATAATTCATCGGGACCTCAAACCCCAGAACATTCTGCTCTCCTACACACCGGGCCGAAAGTCTCACTCCAACAACACCTGCATCAAGATCGGTAGGTTTGTTATGATGAGTTACCTCATTGTTGGCTCTCTGTTTTCGATTCAGCTGTTTAGAGCACATCCTAAAAATGAATTACATTAACACCTGATAAATAAATAACCAAGACAGAGGGAAAGAGGTCTGTGACAAGATCTATCACTATTGTGAAAGCCTCTTTACTATTAAAACAGTTTTTAACTGATGGAAAAATGTCAGAAATTTCTGTCTAAATGTGGTTTACTGGAAATGTTAAGACTTTCCTCTTTCTTGTTCTCCTATCTGTGTCAAAGTACGACATACATTATTATCAAGGTTATTTTCTTTGTCCCTGCTAGATGTGTACTTTAAAAATGATTACAGCCTTTTCTAGTTTCTAACAATCTTTTATCTGTGTTTCTATTTAACCGAGATATTTGTTTTCACAACAAACTTGGTGGCATGCGAGAATAAAAACAAGTTGGGGTTGAACCAAATACATTTAATGGAGTGCCGTATAACAGGGAATACATTTATTAGAAAGTAAGAATGGAGAAAAAACATGCTTGACTTTTTAGATTTATTATTTTAATATTGAGGTCCAGTCCAGCTTAAAATTATTTTATTTATTGTGTCCATATTTTGGTTTATTTTTTCTCTTCTTAATATGGATTACACACACTTCCTTGTTGTAAAGGAAGAATTTTTCACAACTTTCTGTAGGGAAAGATATTGTCTTTAGTCTCTTTAGTTACGTACATAATTTATCTGATATTTTTGACTGACTATCTTTGAAGATAAGCTCCAAGTCTTTGAAGTTAGAAAACCTCCTATAATAAGTTCATTCTATACTTTCTCAATAATATTCTGTTTTAATTTGAAGTTCCATTTTGAATTTGAAGCAATATGCATATTTTGTATCTTTTTTGCGTCAAATGTTCTCTTGTCCTTCCTCTCATCTTTTTCCCGTCTCTTTGTAGCGGACTTTGGCTTTGCCAGATACCTTCAGAACAACATGATGGCAGCTACACTTTGTGGCTCTCCCATGTACATGGTAATGTCAACATCAATGAATGAGTCTTCTTTTGACTCATCTGTATTTACTGCACTCACGTAGAAGTAATCATGTGAGCAGAATTACATATTGTTAAATCTCATGTTTTATTTCCTTACCAGGCTCCTGAAGTTATTATGTCCCAGAACTATGATGCCAAGGCTGACTTGTGGAGTATAGGAACCATCGTATTTCAGTGTCTGACTGGTAAAGCTCCTTTTCAGGTAAAAACACACTTTATATGATAGTGAAGAATGTCATGACAGATCATTATGTTTGTTCAATGGACTGTGTTCTACATCCCTTACTGCATTGATTGTAATCTCAAAAGCTTCTCAAAGTGCTTAAATATGATCTTGCAAGAGTAGGTGTGGAGTATTGCCCCTCCCTGTGGAGGAAGCCTTTTTGCATCATTCTTCTAAGCTTATGAAGAAGGAAATACAAACTTGACTATCCAGTCCTTCTAGTCCATAAGAGATTATTTACTAGATAAGATAATAGATTCATTATTATTTGTGCTGATATATTTTTCTGTGCATCTGAAAACACATCAACAAAATTGGAAACAAAAAATGTATTATCCCAGCAGCATTTCTGCTATTAAATACTTAAAACAAGACAGGACTAAAGGTTACAAGTTTCACTGCACAAGTAACACTAATAATATGTAATATGTGTCCTACTGGATGATTACTGCATGGACAAATGTCTTCTGTCATCCGGTAACAAGTATTTTCCCTCAGCTGACAGAATGAGTATCTTCTCATTTCTTAAACAAACATGTGGGACACATCCCATGATTGTGGAAAAGATTGATCTTAGCTTTTCATGAAGGGTTAAATTATTGGCATCAAGCAGAGAAAACGTATAAGACTATCGCTACTACCTACTAACATTGGGTTGAGAACTATCCAATGTATCATTAAAAACTGGAAGGATAGAAGGCAAGCAACATCTTTGACAAAAAAAAAAAAAGTGCTCATATAAAAAATCCTAAATGACAGTCAATAGAACTCAGGGCAATTTTCAATAGTGAAAGCAAGAGCATTTCCACATGCACAATGTGAAGGAAACGTAAGGGATTGGGACTGAGTAGCTGAGTAGCAATATTAATACATTTTGAGAGGCTATCTGGAGAAAAAAGATGCGGAGGAGTATAAAGATTGGACTCTGGAGCAAGGCCATGTAGTCTTATGAGTCCAGATTTACCCTCTGACTGAGTGATGAGTGCATCAGGGTGAGAAGAGAGGCAGATGAAGTGATGCATGTGTCCCCTAGGTTCTGCAACATTATGTACCCAAAGAATGAGGTCAGCTGAAAACACTGTATGACCAGGTTATTCCATCAATGAATTTTTCCTTCCCTGATGGCACGGCCATATTCCAAGATGGCAATGCCAGGATTAATCTGTCTCAATTTGTGAAAGAGGAGTTCAGGGAGCATGACACATCATTTTTCACACATGGAGTTCAGACCTTAACCCCATTGAATGTCTTTGGGATGTTCTGGAGACTGTTTTGCACAGTGGTTGGACTCTCCCATTACCAATGCAAGACCTTAAAAAAAAAAAAGTATGAAACACTAGACGGAAATCGATCTTGTGACATTGCTGAAGCATATGTAAACAGGGCTACAGTGAAAGCAGTCAAAGCTTAAAGCATTCCATGAAATATTAGTGTGTGACTTTTATTTAGGTCTAGCACTTTATATACCGAATCAAAAGTAATACTGGTTACTGATCATGTACAAGGAATGAGAAAACATTATAACTGAGACTTATTTACAATTTAATTACATGTTATAAATGCATATTCTGAATATAATTTGTATTAAAGTGCATGTGATTTATCTTTCATCTAAACTGGCCCAGCAGCAAGTAAATGTGAAACATGTTTGTTTTTTTCATTTGTAAGAAACACAAAGGAAGGATGAGTCGTAAACTTCCCTTGTGCGATACAGTAGCTATGTGTCAACATGCCATTGATATTTGCATATTTTGCATCATCGCCTTTAGGCCAGCAGTCCCCAGGACCTCCGGCTGTTCTATGAGAAAAACAAGAATCTGAGTCCCAAGTAAGAACTGCAGTTTTTAAACTGAGCAATGAAATGTTAGCACAACAGTGTTTTGTGGTTAAGAGGAATAATAAATGTGAAGTTCCTTGGTTTGTTGCTAGTAAATTTGTTTTTCATTGGCTGCCTTACTTTTGCTTGAATTTAGTCTTGGATTGCAAACTGAAATGTTATAAAACAAGTAGGTCAGCCATGCCAGCTGTTTACCGTGTCTCATAAAAGCTGATACTGACAGCCATGTTGATATGTTAGAAATAATTTAAGTTATAGCTTTTGAGATTTTTTGTTGACGAACATGATTATGTAAGGTAGAACATTTACAGCAAAAAAAATTCCTCTTTAGATTTTAAGGTTTTGTTTTTTGCAGCATCCCCAGAGAGACTTCCAGCCATCTGAGGAACCTGCTGCTTGGTCTGCTGCAACGCAACCATAAGGATCGTATGGACTTTGGTCAGTGGCAGTTAGCATTTTTAACCCTTTCTCTTTCTGACACATGTCATACTGTCATAAAAAGAGTCAGATAAAACTCTTCCACATATATGAAAATAATCACAAAACTTGATGAAGCAAGTGTAAACTCTCTAAACTAGTTCTGTTTATTAATTTGAATTCTGCTCAGTATTTTCAGCACTGTTCAGTATTTATTTTTTATTTTCTTCTCCTTGGCAGATGAGTTTTTTACCCATCCTTTCTTGGATGCAAGCTCATCCATTAAAAAGTGTAAGTAAAAGTAAATATTACTCTATATAAAGCGTGGTTGGGTCTGATCTGGCATATTTTCTTGAATTCTAAGAGAAAAAGTTCACATTTCTTTTGGACCAAATGTTAGATGAAAAGTGATTCTGATTGCTTCTCGCAAACAAAGTAGATTTCTTTTTCTTTTATTCATGTGACTCATAAACTATAACAACAATCGTTTTGCATTGTATCGTAGCCATCCCTACAGTGACCATGACCTGTTTGCCCAGTTCGGCATCAGTCAGCTCTTGTAGCAGCTCTTCCACTTCTCACCTTGCTTCACCACCGGTTCGTACTCACCTTTTCTCTTATTCCGCTGCTTCTTTTTATTTGCATGTTATTGTCTGTGCTTTTTCAACCATTCCTAAACGGTATGTGATTTATACGTTCATACTTTTCTTCTGGTTCTTTTGTGTCTGCTTCCTTCTGCAGCAGTCTTTAGCTGAAACTCAGCATCTGCGTGCCAAAGTTCTGGCCTCCCCGACGCAAGAAGCTGCAGGATTTCTCCTAAAGGACTCGTCTGGAGCAGGCGGCAGCAGCAAAAACTCCTCCTCTTGCGATACAGATGATTTTGTCATGGTGCCTGCTCATTTTACAAGTGAGGATATGTATAAATAACATCTGATGAAACTGCAAAAGTTATTAAATACATTGTTGTGATTATTAGAAAAGCTTTTTTCCATTGTTGTGTGTTATTTTCATATGATTGACTTTCCAGCAGGTGAACTGACTTGTGAGAGTAAAGTGCTGCAGGACAGTTTGATGAATAGTGGGTGAGAGGCACTGACTTGATTTATCATGGAAAATAAATGTTTTTTCATCTCAGAACATTTATAGTTCTTTAAAAAATCTAAGAAAATACAGTTCTTTATAGTCTGATTTTCTCTTCTGTCTTTTTTTGTTTGAACTTTTTTAGCTCTCTTTTGGCTTCAACTGGTCTGTGTAACCAAGCGAAAACACCACCACACTCTCCTTCTTACAGTGGATCTCCAAGTCCTGTCAGGTAAAAGTACTAAGTTAAGCACAAAAGGATATTGAAACTTTACACTGAAAATGTGTTAGAATGACCTAGTCAAAATCCAGACCTCAGTTGTATTTACAAATTTTGGCAAGACTTGAAAATTGCTTTTCACAGACGCTCACCATCCTTTCTGACCGAGTTTCGGCTGTTTTGCAAAGAATGTTTTGCAACACTGGCTGAGACATAGCCTAAACGGCATGCTAAAGCAATTTAACCAAGAAGAGGCTTCCAGGGTATTTCTTCATGTTTTTATTGGTCAAAGCTATTCAAAACCACCTGTTATTTTCCTTCCAATTTACAGTTCTGCACTACTTTGTGTTAGTCTGTCTCATAAAATCCAACAAAATACATTGGAATCAGTAGTTGTAAAGTGACATAAGAAAAGTTCACCAGATACTTTTTTAAGGCAACTTTTTCATACAGAAACTGATTTTTGAAGATCAGTTTCTGGATCAATTTCCACTCTTTCTTTTCAGAGTTTGAAAAATCCTTTGTTGTGATGAACAGAAAATAAATCTAGTGATTAAAAAATCCCTGTCATCAGAAGTTTTGGCATCTGATCTCACTTTCTTTTTCCAAAGCTGATTATTCAAATAAACTTCAGATTTTAAAACTACCAAAATAAGCCTGTGAATAAGACTTGAAACATCACTTCATTTTTTTCTCTCTGCAGTTTAAAAAACCCACAACTTTCTCTTTTTTTTCCACCCACATCCTGTCTTTATCCTCCTTTAAAAACCGAAACTTCTAATTTTCAAGTTAACTCAAATATTGTTTTATTTTTCTGAAGGTAAAGCAGATGAAAGTCCTAAGACATAAGCTTACCCTTACAGTCCATGTTGAAATCCTTAAACTGTTCAACATTGTGATTTACTTTCACACATCTAAACTGAAGTTGTTAAACTTGTTTCATTAAAGTTTACCTTAATCCTTCAGGTGTTAAGATTGGACTGTTTCAGCCCAATCTTGTCTTCAGAAATCTTCACAGCTGTTTGATTTGTTAACAACAGGCCAGTAATTCATTCCTTCTCAAACAGAGAAAAAACATTTTCCACAACCTGAGGTGATATCTTCCATTTGCGTCTCTAGGAAGCTGGCCACTAACTTGCCTTTAGCTGAAAGATAATATTCCCTGCCTAATTACTTAGCTTTAGCCTGGTGACGTCCTTTTATTGAGATTTCAAGAGTTTTGGTTTAAAACCCAATAACAGCCTCTGAAAGTTTTGACCATGTATAAGCGGAATGCCACAGCTTCAAGATGATGCTGGGCTTTCCCAAAAAGCTTTCATGAAAACATAACTGTCTGCTGTTTGTGCTCTGAACATCCCCTCCTCATGTTCTCACCTTCTGTCTGCTGTTTCCAGGCCCACCGAGTTCCCTGTCAGTAATTATGGTAGCTGTGGAAGCCATGTTCACTCAGTGCCTATCCCAGTCCCCTCTCAGGTCCAGAACTACCATCGCCTGGAGCTGAACCTTCAGTCTACCAAGCAGGATGGCTCTCCACGGTCTGTATCCAAACCAGCACACATCCCACAACCAAACAATTGCACATATGAAATTCTGACACTAACGATGAAGATTTTTTTTTTTAGAGTTTCTCAGCTAAACTTAAGTAATATACTGCTTTTTTTGTTGACACACCAGGTTGTCGACAGCGGTGTGTCGTGGCAGCAGTGGAAGTCTGGTGAGCCATGCAAGAGCAGGACCTTCGGCCCCATGGCAGGGAGCGGTCCCCTCCTCCCGTAGGCTTTCACTGGGAGGGACCAGAACAATCCAGATTTCTCCTCAAGGTACTAAAGGAAGCTGTATGTTATATAAACCTTTTTTTTTTCCACTTCATGAGAAGATTTCAAACACTTCTCTTTTAAATATGATTAGGGTTTTTATGAATGATTGAAAACAGTTTGCTCTTGGGGTTTCCCTTTAACCTTTTGTTGTATTCCGACATGCAGATAAGAAATGATTTGAATTGATAAATCTGTAGGTTGAACATCCCCTATTTTCTGCTTTTTTGTTTTAATATAATTTTAAACCTACATAAATAGAAACAATCCCAAACATTGCACAATACTAGAGGGTCAAAGTTACTTTTCTTTCTCCAGGCCCTCAGGACGTTGAGTCGAGGCAGACCTCTCAGCAGCAGCCACAGGCACCAGGGCTCGGCACACGGCTTCACAGTGCCCCCTGTCTGTTGGATTGCGCGACTGGCAGCAGCAGACAGAAAATCAAGAAGCAGCATTCAGACCCTGTCGCTGTCCCTCCGTCTGGGCTGATGACCATCCGGCCGCTCCACTCTTCCCCCAGACTCAGTGAGCTGATGCAGCGTAACCCTCTGCCGACCATCCTGGGATCCCCGTCCAGGGTGAGACGACTATCTCCATGAATTTACTCCACATGCACAGGAAAAAAAATAAATGTAATGTTTCCTTACTTGTCCGCGTTCTCAGGCTATCCCTCCTTTTGAGTTCCCAAAGCCGCCAAGTTCTCCAAACATTGTGACGTTCCTGACTCAGAAGGGTTTGGTTGTTGGTTCGCCTGCCAGTAGGACTGCCCCAGGAGAGCTCAGAGACCTGGGGCAACAAGCGCTGGCGCCGTCCGCCCACCCAGCCTACTGCGTCCACAGAGTGAACGATGATGGCAGGAGCTTTGGAAGGTCAGGTTCATTCATTCACTGTTTACCTTTTCAATCACAAATGAGTTGTTTAGACACAGGAACCTTTTCTTTAAGTAAAGATCCCTGTGTCTCCATCGTTATCAATTAACTGTTTCTAACTTATTAGTTTTAGTTGGAAATTAATTATCATTTGCAAAACTGCAGTTGAAGTGATTTTTTTTTTCTTAATCTTCATGGGAAAAGGTCAGAGTAGTGTTTAACCTTTTCAGACTAGATGGATATGGACGAACATAAAGTAAACAGATGAAGAGAATTGATGGGAAGTGGACAGATTTATGAAAGCAAAGCTGTTTCTCATGTGCTTGCTTCAGGTCACAGAGTGCCGGCCGTCTGTCTGACATGCTGCTAATGGCTGCGTTTGGAGCAGGACATGCAGGAGAACGAGGCAGCATGGAGAACCTGGCCTCAGAAAAAGCCATAGACATAACAGGTGTGCATGTTTCTTACAGAGGATGGATTAAGATGTCGATTTCAAATATTTTTTTCTTCTTTTTGCTAAGCATATGACAGTTCAGGGTTAATTCAGGCTGTTTCTCATGTGCTTGCTTCAGCAAGCTTAGAATTAAATTTTCAGCAAGCTTAGAATTAAATGGTTCCAGACATCATCAGGTTTCTTTGTCCATTTTGAAGCCATGAGTTTGAACGTTTTTATAATTTTCAGAACTGAAAGTTAAACCCTGAGGGAACTGTTTTATCAACACTTCCATTGTGTTTTTTTTTTTTCCTAATTGATTCTTGTATATTTGTTTTTTCTCTAATGTGAACAAAACAAAAATCAATAAAGCCAATGTTTTTCTGCTCATTAGCTCCTCCTGGTAGTGGCTTTGCACCTGGTTCTTGCAGCCCTGCACAGGTGGTTTTTACTGTTGGCTCTCCCCCCAGCGGCAGTACCCCACCTCAGACCTCCAGACACAGGAAATGTTCAGGTAACACTATAAAAATGTCTGAATAAGTTAACACAGAAGAAAATGTGTTTTTTATGTTAACATTTTTCAACATGAGACTATACAGTGAGAAATGTTCTTTCTTTTTTGAGATTACAATATTCAAATAAAAAAATATCTAGAGATGAAACATTCTTTGTCCTTAAGGCTAACATCTAATTTCACATATCTGAGTAGAAAACCCAAACCAAGCAATCCTGTTTAAAACTCATATATGGTTTAGTAATCAACAGCAATTTCCTCAAAAGGCTTATACATTATAATTGCTTAAAATATATATTTTTGGTAATTTCACAGTAGATGAATTGAAGAAAATGTCTTCCTTTTTGGTGACTCACGCAGGCTCCTTCAGTTCAGGCAGTCCTCCAGGCTCGTTGACCAGTCGCTACCCTCATACAGGCAACTTTCCCGAAGGGTTTGAGGCCCCGCCCAGCCCTCGCTACAGTTTCACTGATCCCATCACCGCTAACATGGGTGGCGCTGTGACCTTTGAGGCCCCTGAGCTGCCTGAGGAGACGCTGATGGAGGTGAAGAACTAATTTCACATAAACTAGTGTGATTGTAGACATTTTTAGGACTGGAGCTTACTTTAGGAATCATTTACCTATAAAATGAGGAATCAATTTTTTTCTTTCGAGCAAAGTAGATTCTGTAACATCACACTCTGTTGTCACAGGACATAAATTGTCTCTAAATTACCGCCCTTTACTCTTTTTCTGCTTTCGTCGGAGTTCAGCAAGAGCACACAGACACGGTGCAGCGCCTGCGTTTCACTTTGGAGTTTGTCCTCTGTCTGATGGAGGTGGCAAGCACTCGCGGGGCAGTCACAGCGGGGGGACAGGGAGACGGCTCTCACCGCGTTGTCCTTCAGCAGCAGAGCCTGGTGGCAGATCAGATAAGCTCACTGAGCCGAGAGTGGAGGTAAGGTCAATGTCACTGTTTGTTGATGATTCAGTTTTGCTCTGTTTAGACAAATAAAACCACCCAAAACCCCCAGACATAAACTGTGTGTGTGAAACAGCTACTTAGTTTGTTTTTGCTTATGTCTCTGATGTGGTTATAGTAACAAAAGAACAGTGACAGTCTGGAAAACAAAAAACAACTATATATTTTCTATAATTACATATCTAGAAACAATTAAGTACTGTAGATGTCTAGCATGAAGCTTTGATTGTGTTTTTCACTTTAAAACTGTGTAACAGTCTTTTTAAATGATAAGATTTAACATTTAAAAACATAATGTTTCATCTTTTTGTCTGAAATGGTTGTCAGATATTTAGTTATTATAGTCTGGCTGTGAGTTTATTTTATTACTTCATTGAGAAGCATTTGCTTGATATTTTGCTTCTTTGCCATTTTATATTTGTACAGTTTTGGGTATATTGTCAGAAAAAAAGTCAGAAAAATCATATCATTATTGAAATTTTAAGCAATAAATGTTTATTTTTTATATTACCTAAAAAGGAAATTGAGCCGTAGGTGCCTGGAATTAGTTGATTGAGCTAAAGGGGAAAGTTTTGTGTCTAACTTGTGTGGATACACATCCTTGTAGTTCAGAATTCAGGCCCAGAAAGTAGTAATTTCATTTTTTTTTTTTTTCTGACGATTTTACTTAAGTCTCAAGTGACATGTTTTTGTGTTTATCTCCTCAGTCACGCGGAACAGTTGGTTCTCTACCTTAAAACCGCAGAACTATTGTCTACTGCCTTACATACGGCCATGGAGCGAGTTAAACAGGGCAAACTCTACCCCTCTGCTACTGTCAAACAAGGTAGGAGGCTCTTCATGTCACAAAAATTCTATAAGATCTCTTTTCCTTTGTGAACCACCAAAAGCAGAATCCTCTTTTCTTCCAATCTCTGTATTTGCAGTGGTGAGGCGGCTGAATGAGCTGTACAAGTCCAGCGTGGCATCTTGCCGCTCTCTCAGCACTCATCTGGAACATTTCTTCTCCAGGAAGCATCGTCTAATGGACCAAATCAGCTCTATCACAGCTGAGCGTCTGCTCTTTAGCCACACAGTGCAGATGGTAGGCTAAAAGAAAAGCAGAGAAAAAATGTTTCGCATGGCTCTTTATTTTACAGCTTTGACAGAAAGCCAAACTAATCTCCAACAATTGCAGCCCATATTAAGCCATGACATGTAAAATACTGTATATGGCAACACAACGTAACCACACACCATTACTACTGAGAAATGTAGTGGTGCAGCAGCGAAGAGAAAGCTAATTAGAGTTGAGAGTAAAATTGATTAAAACTGTGAGGCAAGATGTGAAAGTTTGTGTTTACAAACTCTCTCTATTGGATCAGACAAATTTTGAGTTATTTTGTAAATGAAAAAAGGGGTAAATGTCAGTTTTTAAATGTGCAAAACTGGTGAAAATCCTTCAGCCAAAAGTAATTCTACAAGTATAAATTAGGGGAACAAAAACAAAAACCCACTACATTCCTCAGTCATTTATTTGTAAAAAAAAATAAATAAATAATAATAATAATAATAAATGTTTTTTTACTATTTTTAATTTAATGAAATAGTCTATTAATGTTCCTGTTGTGATGCTAGGTTCAGGCTACTGCGCTGGATGAGATGTTCCACCAGGGGGAAGCATCGATCCTGCGTTACCACAAAGCTCTTCTGCTAATGGAGGGCCTGTCTCTGCTCCTCACTGAACAGGATGACATCCTTAGTGTTAGCAAATGTAAGAATCTCTTTCAGCTGCTCAACAGTTGTAGTATTTGTTGTTCTTGGGGGGGAAATCTTGTTCAGTTTAGAGAACTGGAGGCTTCTGTATGCGCTGCACTAAATCTTCTCTGTCTTTCTTTGACCCTGTTTCTGCAGGCAAGGAGTGCATTGAACGCCGCCTCACAGCTCTGCAGTCGGGTCTCTGTGTTTGACATGTGAAGCCGTGCAACCCTCCATTTGCACTCTGACACATAACTAACCAAATCTCCACCCACATTTCACGGTTTCACATAGAAATGCTTTCGTTTTCACAAGAAAACCACAAAGTTTACTCAGACACTGGAGGGTTTTGCACATGGAAGATCTTTCAGTTTTCAGGGTTGGACTGTGACAGAAACATCTCTTCTCTGGAGGTTGGACCAGTAATGGACATAGGGAGGACTCTGCTGCTGAAAATGGAAATGCCAAGAAAAAGATTTGCACCTAGTTACTGTTGGTCTAATAAGAAGGAGCAGTTTTTGCCAAGAAGTCACATTCCTTCATGTTGTGCTTATCTAGCATAAGAAAACAGCTTTTTAGGATTCATTCTAAAAAGCAGTGGGAAGAGAAGATTAATTCAGTAGAAGCTGCACAGTGGGTGACACGTTCCGATACGGACTCCCTGTGTCTAAATATTCCCATAATGTGTTTTTTTGGCTTATATTTCTAATTTCCCCAAACATTTGTTCTGTGTCCTCTCTGATTCTTTAATACTTTTTGTCAGAAAGTATACATTTATAAAGCATAGTGAAATTTAATCTGCAGTAGTACATAGAAGCACTATTACAAAACCACAAGCAAATTATGTTAGAAAGACTTTTGAAGTAGATTCAATATCTGTTTTGATAAAAACAAAAGAAAAACATAAATGAATAAGAATTTGCTCATTCATTATGTGCTTAAAATTATAAGGTCACAACCTGCCTTTCACACTACAAGATTCAGTATGAGTCTTTATCTGTTGTGCGTCATTGTCTCTTGGTTATCTCATCTTCCTCTTGGCATTAGTCCACATGTTCGCTGTTTAGTTTAGGTCAGGTGATTTTGCTTGCTAACCAATAACACAGTGATTAAAAATGGACTGACAATTTCTTCCTTCTATGCTGTGAGCAGCTAACTTTATCTTTAAAAATCTGCTTATTTTGCTCACACGCCATCTGTATGAGTTAACTAAATAAGTTTATCTTAACAAAGATAAATGCTTGAACAATATCACATTGTACAAATGTGTTGAAAATATGACTTTATCCAAATTAAGTTTACTGAAATGACTTTTTAGTAACATTCAAATTTCTTGAGCTGCACCTATGTTCATCTGACACTCGTAGGCTTTCACACTTACTGCTGGTATGTCCTGCAATTAATTTCCAGACTTTGTCACTGGGATTTTTTGCATTTTATCTCTCAATCTTGTGGGTGTTCAGCGAGTTTAGTCAAATATGAATGTAGGGGTGTCAGGAAAGAAGCAGCATTAAAATCAGGCCAAATGTTGAAGGGGGGAAGTCAACATTTAAGCTGATCTTAAGGGCTGAATGTTTTTGCACTGTTGACGTACTGTATAGATAGAGAAGTATGCTAAAAGTGTGCAGTTTGTGTAGCCATGCTCATTTAGAGACTTCTGCTTATTCATTTGAGTGTAGTTTTAGTTGCTTTTGCATTTACCTTCATAAATTGTGTATGTTTTGATGTTAAAGAGTGTTGAGAAGGAAGTTGTATAAGCTAGTTTTCTAGAAGATGAAAGAAAAAAAATTCACACTGAAAAAAATGTTGCAGTTCTTGTTTTGTGTTTTATTTTAACAGTTATTGTTTGGTTTGGGTTTTTTTAAGGCTATATGTCATTTTATACTTGCTTGATTAATTTTAATTGTGGCTTTTTCACATGTTCCCCAAAACATTTTTTACTCTTCTAAATTTGATTTTTGAAAGTTTAAATCCTACATTAGTTTTTTTTTTTTTTTTTTTTTTTTTATGGGCTGTGTGCATGCAAGTGTGAACTGGTAAGCCTCATAGTTAACACGTTAACATGAGAGGAACACGTTAAGCTCAGAACTTGCTGCATAGATCTGCTCTTGTGAGAAGCAGAACACGTTACTCTGGTGTAACTGACATCGAAACCCACCACTACCTTATTTTACTCAAGATGTCATTCCTTCTGCTGCTCAAGGCAGAAATTGAGTCCATATTTTATATAATAATGTTTGCGTGCGATTTTGGCTCAAGAGGCTGTGCTGAGACGCCTTTGTAGCTTTGCAATCAGCAGGACAAACTGGAGAGATAATTTATCTGAACAGACATTTTCTGTGTTTACTTTGTTGCCTTTCATGTTGTGTCCTAAATGATGTCTTTGTCTCCAAGTATACATTCCGAATATTAATTAATTCCTCCTCAGACGTTTTGTCATTACACTTGCTGTGCTGTCCTTCAAGAAATCAGATGATAGAAAAAACTGATGCATGTGTCACTTTTTATTTTTCCATACAATCTTTATTCTGATTAGTGAAAGCAATGCCCTTTGATTATAACCATCATGTTGATTTTATTTCAGTTTGTTCCTTTTCCATATTTTCTAACATACCGGGATGTTTCCATTTTAGGTTTTTTCCCTTTCACTATTTCGATGTTGCCTTTTATATGTCGTGAATTAAGTTATTGTATATTCAACTCTGGGAAGTTGATGGGCCACCCGAACATTCCCAAAGACTATTAAACTTTTTGCTTGATCTTCCATATTCTCTCTCTTGCTGTTGCAAAAGCAGTTTTATTGTTTTCATATCCATAATAGACTTGCTATCTCCTGTACCCCTGCTGGTAATGTAATCTTTACTGTTTGGGGAGCATTGTCATGAATAAAGTGAAAGGAAATTTCTTCAGGATGTTGTATTCTTGTTTCAGTTGAACAAAAATACTATTAGAGTTGGTTTATTTCCTTGTCTTAACATCAATACCACAAGCTGATGCCATTCATGCAAAAGGAGCCTTGGCTGGCTGTTGAGAACATTTATTAAGCAGTACATAAACATACTTTTCAATAAGCTTTTGTTGTTGTTGTTGTTGTTGTTTTTGTGAATGTATGCGACTCAAATTTTAATGGTAACTTAATTTTTGGTTTTCATTCGCTGTATAACATAATCCTCAAGCTAAGTTGAAAAGGCTTTTAAAATACACCACTCTGTTTTGTGAACCTATTGAGTTTCACTTTTTAATTGAAATTAATGAAATAATTAATTTATTAATGTTCCTATTAATTTAGATGCACCCTTACGAGTAATGGTTTTGTAGGAGATAAAAAAAAAAACTATATATCACCCAACCCTACTTGTAAACGAGAACAATTAGGAATCCCACTGTTACTTTTTAATCGTACAGAAAATACATGAACTTTTTGCTTGTCTGAAGCTGCTATATTGTTAAGCCACCAGTAGGGGGAGGAATACAACCCAAAACTTTCCCCAAAGAAGAAGCTTGCTTGAGGGTCGTCATGGCAACGTTGGTGTTCTCTTTGCACTTACAGTTTGAGTGCAACGCAAGTCAAATAAGAGCCAAAGAAACCCAGGAGGCTCACTCAGCCGTTTACTGCTTTTGTGCTGTCTAATTGGTTGTTGTAATACAACAATGTGGGTCAAGCTGAACTTTTAACAGGATGTGGAAAAGAGCCGCCAGCTAAACCGTGAAGGAAAGAAGCCAACTAGTTCCACTGAATGCTGCACAGAAAGGGGGGAAAATGGCAGGTAAAAACCTCCCATCGATACATCCATCGTCTTTCAGGACCAGATTCGAATTGAGCAGGAAAGCGAGTTCTCCAAGAAGTCGCCCATCGGTGACAGCGGTGCCTGCTCTCTCTCTGCTTGTCAGAGGAAGAGGGTCACATGTGTCCCGTTTGACCGACGTGGATCCTCAAATCATATCCCTCCAGAAGAACATCCAGTATCTGCAACGACAACAAACGGAAACTCTCCAGAAGCTCCACGCAGAAATGGAACTTCTCAAAAGGGAGAATAAAGGTGGCTTTTCCAGACATTTTTTTTTTTCTTAGAATGTATCCTAATCACTGAGTAATTGTATTTTCTCTGTACAACAAATATAGCTATCAAAGCAGCCTGGGTTTGTCCATAATGCTGCAAATTTATGTTCTTAAAAACACACACAAACATGCATTGTAATAAATGTTAGTCTGAAAGTGTTATTTCTAATTTTTCCCATTTGGCTGTTTCATTAAAGATGGTTACATAGAATTTAATCATTCTCAGTGGGTAATCCACAGGGTTTTGACATTTATTAATGAATCAGCCAGCTTCATTTACCTAATGCCAAACAAATCAGCCACGGGCTGTACATCATTATTTTCCATCTACAAAGGTTGGATTTGTTCAGAGTATAATGAATTCAAGCCTGAGACCTGACTGTCCCCATGATAAAGTACTTACAAGAAAAGCACTCAATCTGGGCACATTGTTAGCATAGCAACTCTGGGGTTTTGACTGGTCCTCAGCTGGGAGTCCATGAAGGACCTGGTGTCTGAGCAGGTCTTAGTGTCTCGCCACCTGGGTGAGACATTAGCTCCCCAATTTTTGCACCCTGATCTTATGCAGGGGTCGTCCCTCAATGAAAACTATTGACACTAACTGTTTTCTTTTATGGCTGTTGCAGAGCTGAAGTATAGGTTGACTATGGACTCAAACAAAGCAGGCAAAAAAGGTAAAAGATGCAATCCTGATTTATTAATGTTTCTATTGCACTTTCAGTGGAAGTTTTGTTAGATTTTAAGTTACTTTAACCTTACTCATCTGCCTGAAACTTTTTCCCATACCGTCATGTTACAACCACAAAATTCTGTGTATTCAGATTTTATTAGGTAAGACAATAAACAAAGTAATTATCTGATAAGTGTGGCCTTCATTTATATAAGTTAATACTTTTTAGAGCTACATTTAACTAAAATTGCTGTTTCCAGTCTTTTGGGGTACATCTTTCCCAATCTAACGCCTCTTGAAACTGAAAGATATTTTCAGTCAGACTGGATGGAGTTAGTCTGTGTTTTTAAATAGATTTAGAGCTGGACTTTGATTGGGCCATTGTAACATGTGACTAAAACAATACCAGTCTAGCTCTGGCTCATGCTTAGGCTTGTTGTCCTGCTATTTTGCCTCTGCTTAAGCCTTAAGTCTTATGCAACAACAATCAGGCTTTTTTTCAGTATTGCAATGCACTTGGCTTCATCCATTTTACCTGTGCATGCTTAAGCGAACTACCCCTATTATGCTTTTGGAATTGTGCTTTTAGGTTGCTGAATGAATGCACCAGACGTGTCTTCAACATCTTCGCTGTGTTCGCCACATGGCTTGTGGCAAACTGAAAATGAGACATATGCTTTCTTTTCACTACTATCCTATGAAGAATTAAATTGGAGAGTTTATCACAATATCACAATGTCTACAGCTCAGATTCCTCTGAGCTGTAGACCTTGAATCCTCATCAGACCTTGTGGTTGCTTTTCCTAGTATTGATCAACCTGCCCAACCTGTCAGTTTAAGGGGACAGGCATCTCTTGGTAGCTATCCAGTTTTTCCACTCATGTTTTTAAGTGGATAAACATATATATTTTAGAGTTATCATAGTAAAGGGGTCTGGGGGAAAAAAAACACTCCAAGCTGTTTAGATACATATTTCTAAAAACCTTCGAAAACCATGTATGATTTTCTTCCCACTTCACAATTATACATTAATTTGTGCAGGTCTATTGTGTAAAATGTCCATAAATAACACTGATTATTTTGGTTGTAACATGACAGAATATTAAAGCCTTTAGAAAGATTGCTTAAGCTTAGTCATTGTTTTTGTAGGAATAATGTTGAGCCGAATTGCAAGGTCTCCCTGTCAAGGGGCCCAATCCGGACACTGCGTGGAGGAGCTGCCTGAAGACACAGCGCCTCAAGACCAAGCTTTAAGGTGAAGTTCTGTCCAACCATCATGTATTTGTACTTGAACTGTATCCTGTATTAACAATGAGATCCAAACTGCAGATGCGGTCAATTTAAACATGAATATGCAAAAGAGGCAGGGCTGCTGATTGTTTTATTACACCCAAATAAAATTAGTTTTTCGCAGTCATATATAGCTTCTAAATTTTTAACTAAAGGCGCTCACTGTTTCGCTTTTGAATTATTTGCATATTAATAGCAGAGACAAGAGCAAGATGCAAATATACTATGTGAAAACAGTGTGCAGTGCTATTTTGTTTTGACAATTTGGACACATTTCCTTTGCTGTTTATGACATCAGTGCAATACAGTGACTCCTACAGTCACACATAATTGCTTATTTGACTCTGGGATGTAATTAATTTGCACATAGAATCTGTTGGAAAAATCTCAATAATCATTTACTTCCTGAACACATAAAAATAAGGTTAATGTTTTAAATGCCAACAAGACATACAGACAGTTAGTATCCAATTACATATAGCCAATCAATTAGGCTCCAGTTTATTTCATATTTATATTTATTTCAAGATACAGCTAAACAGAATCCCTCATGTCACCTGAATCTCTCTGGAAGTAAAACTCCACAATGACAGCATAACTTTGTGAATGACAAAAAGAGACAGTGCTAAACACAAAATCTGAGTCAGGACTACTTTTTTATTTGAAAAAAAAACAAGGTGAGAACACAACTGGAGTGGCAGCAACAATTCCATTTGTAGGAGAAAAACACAGCAAAACACAATCACCTGGCCAGGTGTATCAAAAAATGCACATTATTAAGATCAAGGAGTTAAGATGTGGCAAAAAGTGGAAAATATGTCCTCAATTAGGCTAAGTCTGGAGTTGCATAATCATGCAGAGAGCTCTGGATATCCTACTCTATATGAGTTATTATAAACAAATAATAACTTGGCATAGTCTTAAAAAAATGTGTAAATTTGTGGATTTTGGTATTTAACTTACACAACCGAAACTGTTATTTTTCATGTTTGTTTACTTTATAATATTTTACTCTTCTTAGGGAGGTTAGCGAAAGTCCCCGATCTGTACGACTAAACCATGGTGGAGAACTAACAGGGATACGAAAGACAACTTTAGCACCTGTAAGAATCCACAGTGGTCCATCCAATCTGTCACACCCTTCTACAGTAGAGGAGTGTGAGGCCATCATCCAACATCTGTTCAATGTAAACAGTTCACAGACTCAGGAAGTACGTACACATCATCATATGCTGTAAAGCATCCCTTTACATGCCTAAAAGTGTTGTAATTATGTACTTGACGATACCCTTTTAGAACCTTCGCTATATTTATTTAGGAAAAACTGACTTGAATCTATTTGTGTCTGCTGCATAGATTGCACGTCTGAAGGCGCTGCTTAGTGATATAATTCTAAGAAAGAAAATCACACGGGAACACCAAATGTTGAGCAAGGCCTACCTTGGTAATGAACCATGGTAAGGAGACATAAACATGTGCTTTATTGGAACCATAGAATCAGATTTAAATATACTTTAATCTTTCTGATAATTTGATCTGTTTTCCATGTTGCAGCAAACCTGATGAAAAGAAGATATGTCCCAAACTTGGTTCTCACCTACTTCCACCAATAGTGTATGTATTGATTTGTCTTCCAATGGTTCTGTGATGTTTGGGTCTGGGGTGATGCCCAAATAGCAAAATGCAATGTCTTATTTACTTATTTCTAAAATAAATACATTTGTAGCTATAAAAAAAAACACAATTATGTTTTTGTTTTCAGATTACCAAAAAATATAATTTTAAGCAGAAATAAAGAGTATTTTTTGTCTAACAAAATGTATTCTTTAAGTCAAATCTACTTATCTTTCCCCAGACCCTCTCACCCCGGTGTAGGTCTACCTGGCCTGAAGCAGAGCCTCAGTGCCAGTGCTGCAAACAGAGAGAAGAGAGTCATGTCATTTCACAGACCCCACTTCCAACAGAGTTTACGCTGACTGGCTAGAAAGGTCAAAGCCTGTGTGTTTTCATGGTCAAAAACTTTGGTTACTGACATCTTTATTAAAGACTCATTAAAAACAAATACCAAGCCATAATAATATTCTATTAAATTGAAATATTATTTTAATATAACTTTGAAAACCTCCCTCTTGATATCCTTATTGATGTTTGCTCTTCACAGTAAAACCACCACAGTGAACCAACAGTTTGTATAGCAGGACCTTTTATAAATGGAGCATAGTCAGCAGTAATATGCTGGTGTTTTTCAAGTTATAACATGTCAACATATAAGCAGGTAAATAAGTCTTTGACCCAATCCTATTCTCCAACCTGACACCTACTCATTGGACCCTTACACACTGACGTCAACAGTCTAGTGCTGAATGTCATGCGAACTTTAAATGGAATTATTAAGCTGCACCGTGCATGCTTCTTAACCAAATCTTGTATTTTGAAACAACACGGCAATATTGAGAAAGAAGAAACCCCATCTCTAAATACAGGTCTGCTGTAGGATTAGTCAATGAATGTTTGCATCAATATATCAATCAATCTATCAAGTTTATTTGTGTCAACTGAAAATAATTGATATCGAGTTACAAAAACTGCAAAATTAGCAACACAGCAAGCGGCAACTAAAACATGGGGATGCAAGCTAGAATAAGAAATAATTAGTAAAAGAGAAAAGGCATATGCTATTTTTTTTTATCTTAGATTATATATTGCTCATGATTTGTAGAATCCAGATGAAATCTCAGTTTGATAAAACATCTAAACATCTAAAATTTAGGAACTTGTATGATTAAGCTTTGTCATGAAGCCTTGATCAGACGTTTAAAATCTTACTGACAAGTCGACAGAAGGATGAAAGTAATGAAACCCATAAAAGAATTATACAATTTTCCTTTGCTCAGAAACAAAATAATGGTTGCACTTCTCTGAGAATACATCAAGAACTTCCCCTACAACATCTTATACATTAAATGTGACCATTATTTATCTTAGAGCGATACCTCATTATCAGCTCACATCAGTGATATCTTTCTCTACACATTCTATAACACATCCTTCACTCTCTCAGTGCTGCCATAAAGTTGTAGACACATCACTTATTTTTCAGCTAGTAAGTGATGCAGTCATGTTAGGTGTTTTTAATGAGAAGGTGTGATTGTTAGCACAGCTGAAAACATCCTGCCAAGCTAAAGGTGTCACTTGCAGATAGCAGGAACATACCGAACAGACCAGAGTTAAGGTTGTAAAGAAGTGCATAATGGTGCTAGACTATAAAACAATATCCTAACTTTGAATGTGTTAGAATGAGCTAAAGCATATACCTAAATAAATTCAACTGGAAATTTCTGCTTAATGACGCTTGAGTTTAATGTTCCAAATAAGCAAAACTTTAAACGCTAGGTAGGTACCCACACATGTAGAGCCATGCTTAATACAAATCTGTGCCATGTGTTTTTTTTTTTTAACATATTTTTCTTCTATTTCACAATTATGCACTACTTTGAGTTCCATCTATCACATAAAATATTTTGATAACTTCTGTAGTTATCGATGTAAACATGACAAAAACAATATTAATCCTTTTCCAAGCTACATTTCCAAAGTAATGTAGCTTTTATAGCTGATGACACTGACTGGAAAGATTTGTCTTAATTCATTAACTTATTTTGATCTTATTGTACATATATGGAGAGTACATATCTATATATATATTTATTTATTTACTGGGACGAATGTTTGTACATTTTTTGATTTAGCTGAGGGGCTTTTATGTGGCTTTTTTTTTAACTTCCGTGACTGTTGGTGTTACAATCTATGTTTCATGAATAAACCTAACAGTATTGCCAAGCATAGAATAGAGACTGCCTTCATTATCTCCTAAAGGGAAAATTCAAACTTTTGAGTGTAAGGAAATAAAATGAGTTTCAGTAATAGATTAATCTCTTATCAGACAGTCCTCCACTAGATGGTGCTGTTTTCAGTGACCACTGCCTCAGTAGAGTAATGCACATACATTCCTCAAAAATGTTTAATTTGATCTTTAAATCTTTCCTTGTGACTCTTTAAAAAAACAACTTTACTGTTATTTGTCACAGCTTTGTAATAAGTTACCTCAGATAAATAGATTGGAACCAAATAAATTTAAACTAGCAAAATACATATAGTAACTATATTTATCCATAAGCAAATTTCTAAAGATGGTCAAGCCTTTTCACCCAAATTTGTTTCCTTGACACTTCATTGTTAGAATGTGGGAATTGGCAGACATTAGCGGTTAAGACACAGTGGGTACAAAACTATTAACATTCAGACAGTGTTCCAGGGGTGGAAGCTGCTCCGTGCCACCTCTAGTCTCATGAGACATGGCCACTAAAACCACAAGCACAGGGTTACTGCTTATTCTTTATCAATGGATAGCAGTAGTTTTGGTGCGCACTAAATATCTTGTCACACTCAACCAATTTTGTCTGATGCATCATTTTAGCCATGTTGCATTTTACCAAGGCTTTTTCCCCAAGGTACTGCCCTGTGAATTTAAATAGACTTTCTCCCTTTCAGCACACTGCGGTAGAGAAGTAGCTCCAAATCAATGTGTCATAGTTCTGTGCCAAAGAATTCACATTATGAGATTAAATGGAAGGAGAAGTTGGAGAGCAACAGGAAATGAAAATAGGGAATTATGTAAAATGTTTCACTTGTGGTATGAAAGAGTTTACTGCACAAACCGAGTACACTTTAAGTGAGGTCAGCTAATGTCACGATTTATAACAAAGGAATCTCCACTACAATCAGCAGTATCTATTATGGACATATGATCTCCTCAGTCATGTCATGGTTGCAATTCATGGCATGTTTCTGCTAAATGTGGGTTATAGTAAAACATAATCCTGGTTTAATTCAGGGATTGCTGCATAAAATAGGTGGAGTTAGCTTTTAATCATCTTGCATTTGTTTCTGTAATTTTAATCCATTTCTGATTTGATTCATTATGCAGTTTGATTTATTTTGTCTCACAATCTTGCCACATAAGTTGTCAGTAGATCCTCACACTCACACCTCGTTACAATAGTCTTTTATTTGTGCTCAGTATAATTGTCCTCACTCAGTAATCTCCTTCCTCAGCACTTTTACTTCCTGCTTCTCTCATGCGTCTTGGTTTGTCCAATCCTCCTATTTTCTGAACATGTATTGTTTTGTTTTGTTGTGCGAAGTTTTTGCCTTTTTTGTTACCCTTGAGTCTCAATTTAATGATTAAAGTTTCTTCAAATATCTCTGGATCTGTTTCTTTTCTCTAGCAGAGTGGCACAAGATTATGTTTTGCTTTTTGAGAACCAGACAGGACACCAGTTCATAGCAGTGCAACAAACAGGGCACAGAAACATGCACATCTAAGGACAATTTTAGATAAACTAATTAGCTTAACAGTTACCTATCTGAACTGAGGAAGGAAGCTGAGTATCTTCATGCATGCAGTGAGAACATGCAAATTTCATGCCGAAAAAGCCCTGGTTGGGATTCAAACATAGAATTACTGGAAGTAGCTAGAAAAATATGTGTCTTTAAGAAAAGCTATGAGAAGTCTCATTTGCAGTTTTCAACAAACCATGAAGCAGACATTTACTTATTGACCTAGATGCAAAATGTTATACATGGTGAAAAATTTACACAGCACACCATATTGAAAGCATGTGGTTAAGGTGACACACAATGGTTCACTACAACTGTCACCATTCATGACCTCTTCTTATGTTTTCTGATTGATTAAAAATGCGTCCTGAAAAATGTAACTCAATTAAACGAATCCCATACGGAGCACTGAAGGGAGAAGAAAATCAAGCGGAACTGCAGGAAGGAAATGGCCAGGCTTAGAGGGAAGCTGCAAGGAGGTAAAGCCAAACTTAACTTGTTAAAGAGTGACAAAAAAAAAAAAAAAAACAATTGAGATTGGAGCCCAGGTTTACCTTCCAGCTGGATTGCATTCAAACAAAAGCATAATCACAGAACATTTATAAGTTCAGTTCTGATTTATAAATTGAAAATAAATGTTTTTTGTTTTTTTTAATCTCAGCTGAGCATGACTTTCCTTAATTGTTTTAAACTAATTTTTACAGCTTTGTTTCATGCAGATGGTGTGTTTTATTTTTTTTACCCTGAAAAGGTATTTGATCTGAAAAAGTTGGGGGTTTTTTGGACACTAACAAAACATGAACTATTTTCTTTCGACTTTTTAATTAATTATCAGCATTTTATGTTGTTGTTCTTGTAACGGTTTTTATGCTGCTGTTGTCAGCTTACAATTTTAGTTGATAGCAAATACAAAAGAAGCTGCTTTTAGAGGCTAGCCTGTAATTTGTACCATGCATTTGGTGAGTGATATAACTACATGTGATTATTACAGTTTGCAGGCTATTTGATTTTTCAGTGCAGCATCTTGGAAATTAGAGTAACATGAAGCCGTATCCGTGAACGCATCCCCACCCCCACCCGTGCTCAGTCACCCAGCTGCCCACCCCCCATTTTCTCAGCCAGACTTCACTTCCTCCGCCCACCAGTCATCGAGTGACGCGCTGATAGAAAGCGGGACCAGCCCTCCCGTCGCCATTTTTTTTCCTCTTACGCTCGCACTTCTGGTTTCTCGAGCGAGCGGATGATAAAATAAAAAAAACAAAACAACTGCAAGTTCAGGACAAATACTCGTCTGGTCGGGATACTTCGCTTACGGTAAGGGAGTGCAGCTCCTGAGATGCACCAGCAGCGGACAAGCGGCTGCTCTGAAGTCACTTTTTGTGTGAAGACGTGTTGCGGGCCGCCATTTTTTTTCTTGCGCTGCCTCTGAAGTCTGCTCGAACCCGGGAAAGGGAACTCACAGACCTGCTTCCGTGCCTTACCGTTAAGTCGAGAGGATACAAAGTAACTATCAGTGTTTCTCCACCTGCGGCTAATATTAGCCTTTTTATCCACAGCTATGATGATTTTACAGTTAGAAAACTGAGACCACCTTTTCCGCTTTTGTATTATCTGACACTGACCGGAGGAGATAATTATTTGAAGCCGTGTTTTTTTTTGTTTTGTTTTTTTCTCGGAA